TATATATAATTAATTAATATTTTATTTTATTTATTTATTTTTTGCATAATGACCATTAAACTGGATAATTAAATCCCAGGCAACATTTTCCTGGTATCTTTCTTCATACATGCTTTCAACTCAAGTCAATATTTCTTGCCTTTTTTGTTTATTTGCCAAGCAGCGGTGTAATAAGAGGAATATTGTAGCGTTATAGCAGTCATTATAGCAAAATTATCTCTTTTACTGTTTTGCAAGAACCCACAGCTAACAGCATACATATTACAGGGTTTTTGCAGGTTTTATGAAGGTAAATTTAAGACCATGTACAGAGAATTTAAGAAATAAATTGTGACCCTGGACCACAAAACCAGTCATAAGGGTCAATTTTTTGAAATCTTAATAATATAATATGAATAAATAAGCTTTCCAATGACGTATGGAGATACAACTATCTGAAAATCTGGAATCTGAGGGTGCAAAAAATCTAAATATTGAGAAAATCGCCTTTAAAGTTGTCCAAATGAAGTTCTTAGCAATGCATATTACTAATCAAAAATTAAGTTTTGATATATTTACAGTAGGAAATTTACAAAACATATTCATGGAACATGATCTTTACTTAATATACTAATGATTTTTGGCATAAAAGAAAAATCTATAATTTTGACCCATGTATTTTTGGCTATTGCTACAAATATACCCCAGTGACTTAAGACTGGTTTTGTGGTCCAGGGTCACAACTGAATACAACACAAAGCGTTAATATGGTATTAATACGGTTAATAATGTCTTGTATTAGCAACACTTCAAAGTTCAAAAATACAACTTTAATTTAAAAAAACTACTTTAATTTCTTACTACTTTAATTCTGATCACACTGCAAAAAAGTTATTTTTTAACCAGTATCCAGTATTGTTTTCGAGTTCAAATGTCTAAAGATTCTTAAATCAACATACATTTGTTTGTTTTATTAGAAATTGATCAAAATGAAGTAAGTTTGATTAAACAAGAACAAACAAGAACTTAATTCAAAGAGGAAAATCATTTAATTTTGCTCAATTTCTCAACAAAAAAAACATAATATCTTTCATTTGCATCTGTAAATGTATCTTGATTTAAGGACATTTAGATATTTATATTGGAACATTTAATACTTGACTTTACGAATTTAAAACTTTTAAGGCCTTAATTTTTGGAAGGGCAAATTAAGACTTAAGACATTCAAGAACAAGAACTAGTATGGACAGTTATTTTGTCACTGAAAATGATTCCATAAGAAGCCAAATCAAAACAGTAAAAATCACTCTTGGAAACCATTCTTGCCTAACCAAAATACAGGAACGGAACTACAGTAAGTGTTGCATATTTTGCGTCAGTGTCTGTCAAACAGTACATTATCCCATACTTAACCTCCATAAATGAACCATTATCAGAGAACTATTCTGGCTAAGTGCTCTTCAAAATAAAGTGATATAGGAACAAGTTCAACACAAAAGACCTTTAAAGAAAAAGGAAACTGCAAGAATCAAAAAGCCTGTTATTCACATTTGAAACCATACAAAATGGATTTAACCAGACGAACTAAATAACAGCCAAAGAAAAACTGGCAGCAAAATTAAACAAAAAAAATGAGGAATACGTTAAGACAATAAAAAATTTTTTTTTTTTTTTTTCAGATTTAACGAGCAAGCGACTAATAAATCTGATGGAGGAAGTGAATATGGAAATGAAATCTAGACGTAGACTGTGGAACAGAGAGGGAGAGCTGGGTTAAAATAAAAATATGAGCAGCAAAACAAAACAAAAAAATGCAATTCAAAGAAAAAAAGAGACTGTGAACTTAGACGCATATGGCAGGTATTAGGAGGACCTAGAAAGCACAATCAAGAAAGGAATAGAAATATATACAGACAGACAAACTGGGGTATTTAGATGAACTGACCCAGTTTAAAAGGATGTATGTAACAAACATCATGACTCATGCTCTGAGGTACGAACTATTTTCATTATAGGTCATAGGTGCGGGAAGTGAGGGTGCTGAGGGTGCTGCAGCACCCCCTGTTTTTTTCTGTGGGCAACTGTTTAACTGTTGGGAATTTTTTTTTTAAATTGGAGTGTCTATTTACACCAAGAGCAAATAGCCCGCCTTGTTGGCAGAGGCTATTTACACTAACTCCAGCCACCAACGTGTGATTGGGCTAGTCAACATTACAAAAGACAATAATAATCAAAGTCAATAATCGTCAGATTCAGTGGCGTAGGTGGTAAAGTGTGTGTCATACTTCTTTTGACGCGATTGACCCGGGTTCGAATCTGCCTTTTGGCGAACTTTTTTTCTCCCTTTTCAAATTTCAAATCACATCAGAAAAGCATTTATTTTTAATAAAAATTAAGGAAATAATCAAAAAGTTGAAAATAAAGTATCGGGTAGGGTTAGGTGTAGGGAGGGCTTTTGTCCCAATAAGGTGGCATCCATTTAATAATTTGAATTCAAATTCAAATTTACACTCAATAAGTTATTATTGCACACTGTTTTAATGTATTACAATGCTGAGGTGCAGATAACTGACACTATTTGCAATAAGTAATTAGCAGAATATCCTGCTATTTTAACTATCTATAGCTATTTTCACTTAGTGTAAATAGCATCTATCGCTAAGAAAATATGCTATTTTCACTTAGTGTAAATAGCATATCACTAAAAAATACTGCTATTTTCACTTCGTGTAAATAGCCTCTATCGCACCTCCCACCCCACGCGCGTACAGCACCCCCAACCTAAAAAATCTTCCCGCGCCCGTTATAGGTCTACAAAAACTCTCTGCTGGTATTCACACCATACCATTCGCTGCAGCTATGAGGGGCATAATTGTGTTACGTGGGAGAGAGGTGGGCGGTCAAGCAGTTCTGCAGGACATTTAGCTCATTGTGACCCAAAAGCACAATGTAAGACTGTAAGATGTTTGTGAGCACAGCCAAGCAGGCTGAGCTACAAGTACTAACGTTGTGATGAATAGGGGAATTTGCAGGAGTGAATGGGCCTGTGACCGTTGTGAATAACGGTGTTCTCCATGCTTGAGAGCCTGGAACGCCTCTCGGGCTCACCATCATCAGAGTGGCATCATGAAAGGCTCTTTTGTGACGGGGCGCACACTGAATACGTCTTCCTTCGGGTCTGTGTCCAGTCTAAAAGCCCCAGTGCTTTTGTGTGTCTGTCTGTCTTTCTCTCTTTTCTTTTCAAACAGGGTTTCACAGAGCAGCAACAACATTAGAAAGCAAGCTATGGAAACCAAAGTGTGCTGTTGAGGAACTCTGAACAAGCTACTTCCTTAGAAACATGGCAAAGTGCAGTGTGAAGTAATGACCAATCTACTAATAGCAAATAAGGGGCCATTTTGATAATATAGGCATTGGGTTGATTCTAAAATGTATCAGTTTGGATCTACCTTGTTAGTGGATACTTTGAATTAATAGAGTAAATTAAGGGTGGTATTTATTAAAAATCTATTAATTTTAAAAAATAATTTGAAAAAACATAATTTTTACATTTTTATATTTAATTGATTTTCATTTTTATTATATTTATATATACTGTATATAAAATAAAAATCTATTAAAATTTAAAAAATAGATATAAATCTATTTCATAAATAAATTATTGTTCAAATATAATTGATTTTATATAGAAAATATATTACAATCAATTAAATAAAAAGATAATAAAAATCAATTTGATTTTAAAAAGTAAACAGATATTTTTTCATTTTAATATTTAATTGATTTTATATAGAAAATATATTAAAAATCAATTAAATAAAAAAATAATAAAAATTGATTCGATTTGAAAACGTAAAGTTATTTTTTTCTTTTTCATATTTAATTGATTTTAATTTTTATTATATTTATTTATAAAATAATGCAAATCTATTAAAATTTGAAAAGATAATGAATAAACAGATACAAAGCTATTTCATAAATAAATAATTGTTAAAATATAATTGATTTTATATAGAAAACATTTTTAAAACAAATTAAGTAAAATTACTAAAAAAATCTATTAGATTTGAAAAGTAAACAGATTTTTTTTTTTCATTTTTATATTTAACTGATTTAAATAAATTTATATTTATATAGAAAATAATACAAGGGGTGTACTCACTTCTGTGAGATACTGTATATATATCTAGCAGACTGACTGATTTAATAACTGCGTGTGCGTATGTGGTCTTACCTCATAGGCCTGGGGGCTGGTCAGACATCGAGCCAGAGGACCGCAGCAAGCCGGCAGAGTGGAGGTCAAAGGGGGACCGCTATGGGTCAGGATAGGCTTCAGGTAACTGTACTTGTGTTAAGGGAAAAAGCTCTGCTGAAGTGTCAATGTCAAGCAGACGTGAACCAGGAAGATGTCACACACTGGACTGAAATATGGTTGATATAGACACTTCTTACAACATTATGTACTTTCAATTCCAAAAACAGCTGAAAACATGCAGGTATGGTAAAGTCAACGTCATGCAGTAGTAGCTTGTAGAGTACTCACATTAGTTAATCATAACTTATAATTCTCTACCAATTCAAAAAAAAAAAACTTTCATAGACTCAGTTCTATTAACTTTAACTGTATGCACGCAAAAGAGCAGCTTGGACCGTCTCAAAGCTCTCTGGTAAAGAAAATGATTAAATCTTTTCTGGCTAAACTAGTTAATTCATAACAGCCACATATCAACAATGACTGCAAGACTTCCGACATTCATCCAAGTCAAACATTTCAAAACAGAAAATCAATTCAAACCATTCAAAATAGCATTGCTTATAATGGAAGCTCCAAAAATTCTTGGAACTCTCGGAACTGATATGTGACCCTGGACCACAAAACCAGTCTTAAGTCGCTTGCGTATATTTGTAGCAATGGTCCAGGGTCACATATGATTGAGTCTCAGCCTCATAATCATGGAGTAAACAGATCATCATCCCCTTAAATAGTTCACTCAGAGTCCAGCACACAGACCTAAACAGGACAGCTAGTACGCATTTGGCAGCAATACTGAGGTTTTTTATTTTTGACAGACGGGGATAAAAATAGAGAAGGCGGCAGTAAAATGCAGATGGCATGAAACCAAGAACACCCCGAGATGGATTTGAAAACATATAATATCTATGAGGGGGACCTAAACTGGATGTCCCCTACAGAGTTAGAGAGAGGTATAGACTGCAAAATATCTCTGTAGGATGTCCAATAGCATGGTCTGGCACCCAAAGAGAAACAAAACAGGCAGCTGGCCTTTTGGAAAGCACACAAGCACACTTTAATTCACTCCCGAGGGCCTGTGCAAAAGGAACCGAATGTTGTTGGGTAGGTTGTTGTGACAATAAGGCAGCACACTTGTAAGCCGACAAGCACGGCTGTGGGCGCAGAGAAAATCGCAAGCTAAGATTCCTAATAAACATCTGACATAAGCTCTGAGGACCTGTGAGTCACCACATGTGGAGCTGGCTAGACACAGCTGTGCAGGAAGCGGATTGAGAAGTGTGTGAGAAAATGTGTGTGTGTGCCACTTTCACCTTTAAGCATTATTTCTAGCATCTGTGAGCTAAATAAAACCCCTTTCTTTGCTATTCTGTTCCTCTCACCACCCATGACCGTCTCACTGAAAAGGTACGGCTACAGTAAACCTTTCAGCACAAAATAATTGCAGTGGACGAACCCTGCTGAGAGCTCAAGAATCATTGATTGCTTCATTCAGGACTCTTTGTGAAAATGGACTGCAGCCATTTCATTTGACTTTCCGTGCAAAGAACGTCAGTAATGACATTTCCAGCAGCTCGTATTGAGATGCGGAGCTCAAACTGGAGCTTTTTTTGGAGTGGGAGTTGCGTCAGGACGGTGAGGCTTGTCAGTTCGGGGGTTTAGAGGCTCAGTTAAGGCCTCAGAGTAACTCCAGCACTGATCAAAACCAGCTATCCTATGAAATCTCGGAATTATTCATCCTTTCCTCACTCTCACTCTGCATTTATATTCATCTAGATCCGCTTTAGCGGGTTTCATCAATATGTGTCTCTCTTTTGTCATTGTCTGTGGTGTGGGAGCAGATGTTTTTTCCTAGTCATTTGCATGGAGCCAAAGTAATCTCAGTTGGCTAGGCTCACGGAAGAGCAACTGTGAAAGAGAGGTAATGCTCAACCGTGCTTGAGTTCCTAATGACAAGACCACAAAAGCGTGCAAGTGTGTGTTGTTGTGAACGGCATGCTGAAAAGGATACTTGTGGTCAAAAGTATACCAAAGTCTAAAAAGCCAGGCGCTCTCTTGCTTGGTCTTGCTCTGTCCTTCTGACTCTGTTCCATCCTGAGGAGAGAAAAAGGACGTAAGTGTGATTTATTTAATCTACAGCAGGGTTATGCAAACTTTTTCACACACACACACATACATAATTCAAAGCACAATTCATTATTGTGGCAGACAAGTAAATAATTGAACAGATGTTTAAAACAATGACTTTAGAAGTCAATATATTGTTTTATGTTCATGATTGAACATCACTGCATCAGTAGCGTACAGCAAACAACAATGCATGTTGCAATCGAGTTTGTCAATTTGGAGTTTGTCAATCTGGAGTTTGTCATGTTGAGTTTGTCAAAACCTGATACTTCAAATGTCAAAAGTCTGCCTTTTTGGTAAAAGGCTAAAAATGCACTGTGTAATTTTTGTAATGTAAAGATATTATATTATCTTGTATTATATTATATTATATTATATTACATTACAAAATGTGTACTTTTTGCACCTTTAGTGTCATCAAACGTTAATCCACTACTGGCCACATAAATACCAGGCCATATGGAGAAATGGTCTGCAAACTTTTGAATGGGTGGAACGGAACCTGATACTTAACGGTTTATCATAAATAACAGTACACACACTCAATATTCATCCATATTTATCCACTGACATTGTACATGTAGTAAAACCTCTTGCCAGTACGTTTATCCCAGTTCATCTAATCTCACGAGTTCAGCTTCAACATCAGTTTCATTGCATTTAAAGAGATTACAGATTAACGCCATCACAAACAATCTCACAGTAACACTATACTGCAACCTACCCTAAGCTTGCTATATTCCTTTAGTGTTAATACTATAGTGCGGACCACTGTTTATAAGATAAGATGTGTGACAAAGACAAAAAGTGTACTTTAACCAAAGTAAAACTGTACACATGTGATATAGGGTTGTCATTATACCAAAAAATTCAGTCAATTTTCACAATTTTGATATGATGGCAATAAGTAATATGCTAGTGAATACACTACTTGATAAAAAAATAAATAAAATATTAACATAAATATTAACTAATTAAATTAAAACAATGGAATGTAATAATAAAGACAAATCTATTTTCATAAAATTTCTTCAACAACATTTTTGTTTGATTAATATTATCTATTTTTATTAACTGCATGCACAGATTATGATTTTAACAATTAAGTGTCTGGATTTTAAACATTCTTAAGAATTCCTACAAATAAAATTCTTCTAAATTATTTACTCCTAGTTTTCTAACTTAGAATAGATATATATATTGCATAGTGTGCATATATGCAGTACTGTAGTCCTCTTAGGTTAATGTATTTTAAACTCATGAATTCTTTTTTTAAAATCATTGTAAATAACCTCTGAAAGTTAGTGTTTTACTTTCCAAAGGGCACCATGTTTAATTTACTGGGTTGTTTCAAACATTAAGCATTACAAGTTACATAGACTATATATTGCTTCTACCAAGCTTTACTTTTTTAATCTAGTACACTTGTAACCAGGGCTTGACATTAACACCCGCCAAATGTGACCCTGGACCACAAAACCTCTCAAGTCGCTGGGGTATATTTGTAGCAATAGCCAAAAATACATTGTATGGGTCAAAATTATTTCTTTTTATGCCAAAAATCATTAGGACATTAAGTAAAGATCATGTTACATAAAGATATTTTTTTGATTAGTAATATGCATTGCTAAGAACTTTTTTTGGACAACCTTTTTTTTTTTGCACCCTCAGATTCCAGATTTTCAGATAGTTGTATCTCAGCCAAATATTGTCCTATCCTAACAAACCATACATCGAGATTTTTACTTGCCCGACCGGACAACTAATCTGATTAAAACATCTAATTAGGGAAGCACCGAAATTTCGGCGAGAATGATTGTGATTTTATTTATTACGCCAGTTGAGGCTCACACAGCCTGTCTGTGAGAGAATCTCATGGAGAAATTAAAACGAACAACTGCACACAGAAGAAACATAAAAATGTTACTTAGTTTTTAATATTTATAACATACAGAATATGTTAATTGTTAAGCAACATGACCAAGAGAGTGACGTTTTCCCTGAAAACCACGACTGCAAATTTGACATTTTATACAAGAGTTAAAACGAGTAGTTAACATACATTTTAGTTCAATATTTTAATTTGAATTTATTGAAAGGATATATTGTCAGCGTTGACAGTTTTTGCTCAATTTGGTTAATGAAAATAGTTCCAAACAAAGATCACAGCAGAACAGTCGCGCATCTCTGAGCAACACACAGCGGTGTTGATTTGCGTTTTTGAATTTTGAGTCAATGATTCAGTGGTCCATTCATAAAGACAGGCAGTTGCTTCATTCGTGAATGAATCGGCTGTCTGAACGAATCGTTTGAAGGCATGCTTCAATGACTCATTAATTAAGACAGTCACTTGCTGCCACCTATTGGCGGTTTACTTTCATAGTAGATTATCTTTGCATTTTTTCCAACATTTCATATTTGTATATTAAAAAAAAAAAACTATTTTAAAACACCAAGCTCACAACATTATTTATGCTGTTATAATTTTGCAGTCTAAATGCATTCTTGCTATATTTCAGCTACATTGAACTGTCTGTGTAAATGCATCTAAATGCCACTCCAGTCACTTCTGTTTCTTCTGCAGTGGAAAGATCGGTTTTGTTGATACTGATTTAACTTGATTGGTAACAGCCCTATAGACCCTATAATATGTCTAATTATATTAATTGAAATTATTAATAAAATGTAAGAATTTGATATGAAAGATGATACATGTATTTAATACGGTTAGGGGAAAATGCCCTTTAAATAGGCCAAAAATGACCTGGAAATCAATTTAAATACATTTTTGTATGCAGTATTAAGTCAAATAAAACGTAATTTCCCAACAACAAAATTGTGGCCAGTCAAAATGCTGAGTGGCTAGTAAATTTGGAAAACCACTAGCCACAGTGGCTGGTGAGCAAAAAAGTTAATGTCAAGCCCTGCTTGTAACCCTATCAGATGCTTGTGTTCCAGATGGAAACACTAAGGGTTATCAAAAGGGAGAGATGCTGGCAGCCATTGACTTCCATAGTATGGGGGGAAAAAATCCTATGAAAGTCAATGGCTACCTATTTGGAAAGAAACTCTTACAGGTTTGGAACAACAGGTTTGGGGAGTAAATGACAGATTTTTCAATTTTGGGTGAGCTATCCCTTTAGGAAGACTTTTGTGAATCTGGTCTAGATTGTTTATTTCCTAAATCTATAAACCAACTGTGTTTACCAAGAAATGTGTTTGACCACTTATGGTCAGTCGTAAGCACAAGCACTCGTCAACATCTTTATTATTTCAGCATCAACTTTGTACCAAAGTACCTGTACTTTGAGATCCTTAGTGCTCATATCACCAGTGCATGAAGTCTGCATTATCTTGTATCTCTGTATTGGTGCATGTATTCGTACTTCTTCAAAAACACACCCACGGGTTTCAAACACAACATGCCAACAGCTAAGAGGTGTCAGGGTTGTTTGAATGGCCGTTTTTGAAGGGGTTGAATTTATCTTTCGAAGGATCGCTCCACAAATGACACTTAGGCAAGCGTGCACCTTTTTTTAGAGGCCAAAACCAGGAAGAATGAATTTGTGTGTGGTTTTTGGGTAGCTGCATATGAGGTCTTAAAGGGTTAGTTCACCTAAAACTGAAAATTGGCTTGTGTTTTACTCACCCTCGAAGCATCCTAGGTGTATATGACTTTCTTCTTTCAGACAAATCCAGTTGGAGTTATATTAAAAATTGTCCTGGCTTTTCCAAGCTCTATCATTGCAGTCAGCGGGTGTTGCAGTTGAACAGTCCACAAGTCGTCAAATAAAGCGCACGCATTCATAATAAAACGTGCTTCACACGGCTCCGGGGGTGAATAAATGTCTTCTGTAGTGAATCCATGCGTTTTTGTAAGAAAAATATCCATATTTCAAACGTAATAAACCCTTTTCTCTCACTTCCGTTTTCTGTCATACGGGGAAGGCGTTCTAGCGGAAGGCGTATGACGTATGCGCAGCGCACGCACCTCTTGAGGTATGCTAGTCTCACGAGTTTGTTTATAGGAGCAAAGGAAGCAAAGTTTCCTTACTTTAGCAAAGGAAAACCAGTCTCCTCTTGGTTTATATCGAAATCCTCCGACATTTTTCTTTGCAAATCTTCGGTTTGTTCTTCTAATTCGTGACCGGCGTTTTGTTTCTTTCTCTCTCCGCGTTCGTCACCAATCACGCAACGCCGACGTGCTACGACATCCGCCGGCGCGGCTTCCGCGTATGACAGTTAGATGAAGTGAGAGAGAAGTGTTTATTACGTTTGAAATATGGATATTTTTCGTACAAAAATGCATGGATTCACTACAGAAGGCCTTTATTCACCCCCGGAGCTGTGTGAAGCACGTTTTATTATGAATGTGAGCCAGGACAATTTTTAATATAACTCCGACTGGATTTGTCTGAAAGAAGAAAGTCATATACACCTAGGATGCTTCGAGAGTGAGTAAAACATAAGCCAATTTTCATTTTTGGGTGAACTAATCCTTTAAGTGCGAAAGGGACAGGATGATGTGGCAGCAATTCAGAACAAGAGTTTTACATTTTCCAAAAGAAATGTTACTGATAATTGGCAGTGCAAATCCACGTTACTTGGGTGTTCCTGGGTGGTTTCTAAGGCATTGCAAAATTCTTCCTTTAATGTATGTCTAGAGAACATTATAAGACTGATGGCTTAAAAAGTACTAGCACACGTTTCCTTTGTTGTACAGTTTGAAGCATCACTCATTTCTATAGCAAAAATAAAATACTTGGTAAAAGCTTCATTGGCAGGAGGACAGAAACATATTGAGACTTACTCCCTGAAGGACCTGGAAGCTGTCCCCACATGGCTGAAGATCCTGATCAGGGTCCACTCCAACTCTGAAAGAGAGAGAAACTGCACATCAGTCTGCCTGTGTGCATCTGTGACATGAGCTTTCCCCACAGTGCATATGCAGCCAAATATGTACCACAACCTTTTAGCAAAGCCCACAAACGGCAGCAGCACGAAGAAAAGATAAGCAGGCGAAATGGACTCAAGCAGAGCTATATTGATCATGTTACAATCTCATTTCACACAACATACCTACTGCAGCAAGGCAAGGTTTCCACTGAGAAGAAGTTACACAAATAAATCATAAGGTCTACAGGCAATTCCACTCATTTGTCTTCTACAGCTGGTCACAGGCTTAAACTTCTAGTTTTTGACATCACCTAATTTAAATAAAACGACCACAAAGGAGCATGTAAAAACAAAATGAACAAAGGATGATCTAAATATTGAAAATATATTTGATATATTAAATACATGGCAGGAATGTACATAATACAGAATACTCAACAAGTTTAAATAGACTTCATGACTGATGTTACTTTTACTTACACTTTTAAGTCGAATGTAGTATAAAGAATTACCATTTTGGTTATAGTGTTATTTTGATAAAATATCAATATTAGATGAAAAAAAAACATTTCTAAATTTTGTTTAAGCGCAAGTATTAAAATTACTAAAACTGAAATAAACTAAATTAAAGTGGAAATATTTTTTTTTTAAAACTAACAAAAACACAAAATTACTACAACTAAATAAAAATTGAAAACATAAAAAAAAATTTAAGAAATCCACACAATGTAATACTCTCATGAACGTGGGGCGAAAAATGACACGGAAGAAAATTAATTGTTGAATTAAGTCATTATTTTTGTTTTCTTTACACACAAAAAGCATTCTCGTAGCTTCATAACATTACAGTTTAACCACTGATGTCACGTGGATTATTTTAATGATGTCCTAACTACCTTTGTGGGCCTTGAACGTGTCAGTTGCGTTGCTGTCAATGTCGGGTCAGAAAGCTCTCGGATTTCATCAAAAATATCTTAATTTGTGTTCCGTCTACAGGCAATTCCACTCATTTGTCTTCTACAGCTGGTCACAGGCTTAAACTTCTAGTTTTTGACATCACCTAATTTAAATAAAACGACCACAAAGGAGCATGTAAAAACAAAATGAACAAAGGATGATCTAAATATTGAAAATATATTTGATATATTAAATACATGGCAGGAATGTACATAATACAGAATACTCAACAAGTTTAAATAGACTTCATGACTGATGTTACTTTTACTTACACTTTTAAGTCGAATGTAGTATAAAGAATTACCATTTTGGTTATAGTGTTATTTTGATCAAATATCAATATTAGATGAAAAAAAAACATTTCTAAATTTTGTTTAAGCGCAAGTATTAAAATTACTAAAACTGAAATAAACTAAATTAAAGTGGAAATATTTTTTTTTTTAAACTAACAAAAACACAAAATTACTACAACTAAATAAAAATTGAAAACATAAAAAAAAAATTAAGAAATCCACACAATGTAATACTCTCATGAACGTGTGGCGAAAAATGACACGGAAGAAAATTAATTGTTGAATTAAGTCATTATTTTTGTTTTCTTTACACACAAAAAGCATTCTCGTAGCTTCATAACATTACAGTTTAACCACTGATGTCACGTGGATTATTTTAATGATGTCCTAACTACCTTTGTGGGCCTTGAACGTGTCAGTTGCGTTGCTGTCAATGTCGGGTCAGAAAGCTCTCGGATTTCATCAAAAATATCTTAATTTGTGTTCCGAAGATGAACGAAGGTCGTACAGGTTTGGAACGACATGAGGGTGAGTAATTAATGACAAAATTTTCATTTTTGGGTAAACTATCCCTTTAACATCAGTTCATGTCAAAACTGTCTTTTCCTGTGTAAGTGAACAGTTCTTGGCCAGAATAAACAAATGCAAAGTGGACCAGACTTCCGTCTGGATCAAAGACCAAACTTGTGTGAAGAGCCAGACATGTTCTCCCATTCGCTTGACTGGCTGAAATACGAGGAGAACCCAGCAGACCTTTAGAGCTCAGAGGGTGAGGCTTTGCTGAGATAAGTGATACACTAGGTGAACTTTCACTCTGGCCTTTAAGTACATTTACTGATCTTTGATCCTATGGCTCGTCTTTCATTCTCCCTCTCAATTAAAACAGTGGATATGACGCGACCGCTGGCTTTTGAACCCCAAGGATCAACAGAGAGTTCATTGTGAAGTCAGACACAGCTTGAGGGTTAGCAGAAGCTCAGGCGTTCTGAGCCTCTAGTGCCGCCCATGTGGACAAGTGCCAATGAAAACAGAAAGAGCTGACTTATTATCTGTCTTTGCAATGACAAGCAGTTAAAACTTTACTGAACATCTTATCATTTTATAGTCAGCAAGGAATATTTGTCTCCCAAAACGTGGGTGAAAAAACAGTTAACATACTTCTGCCAATACCAGTGTTTCATTTCTGGGTGACAGACCAGGTGTCTTTACAAGCTGCTGTTGTTTCTATCACATCTAGAAGAGAACTGTCTGTAAAACAAAAAAGAGTTTTCCTCCCCATTGGTTTATAGAAAGGGTGCCTAAGTTGTCCAAAAAGGACTTACAGCTCTGGGTTATAGATCAGGGGAAGATTTGCTTTCACACAAGTTACACTGGGAAATGGGAAACAGTGGGGAAGGAAGGAGCTTGAACTTTGCTGAAGGAATGTTTGAAGCTAAAGATCTGTATTTATTTATTTGTGCTAAAGACTTGCAAGTTGAAAAGGAATAAAATGGAGGGGCTCGGAGGAAGAACGGCAAGAGATAAAACAAAACAGAAAAATGAAATACAAGGAAACCAAAGAATATCTTGGAGTTAAATAATACAAACATTAGGCTACTGCAGCTGGAGGGTGGGCTACATTAAAGGGTCACATGGAGGTTAGAGGAGCCAGTTATGACAACAACAAAAAAACAAGGCAAAAATTGAGGAAGAGTACTACACAGTATGCACTCGCGTGTGCAGAAAGCATACAAGCGTGGTGGATACCGAACATTTCCTTCCTGCAAGACGGACAGAGCAGCTCTCGCTGTCAGCCTGTGTGTGCGGTTGCTAATATACTGAAGCCAAGCAAGCCAAGGGCAGCAGATTGTTTTGAATGCAGGTATAAGAGGAAGCTTATTCATTTCGTAAGACTAATCTTTCTTTTGATGCCTTGGTATTACTCATCTGCAGTCTTAAGCCAGGAGGATATCGAGTCTTTGCCAGTGAGCTTTGTGTACAGATTTCCTTTAGCACCCCAACGTGAAAACAGGCGCCACAGCGCACACACATTCTTTCAAAGCGACTCCCACCAGTTTTAAATACAGCCCTGGAAGAAATGGACTGGCACATCATGGAGACTAACCACTGAGAACAAACATTTGAGTGTGCAAAGGAAGTTAACTGCTTATAAAGGGGTGCTGTAATGATTTATACTGAGTAGAAAAAGAGAAGAAGATTTTTGCAGGAGTACAATAGATAGCAGCAGTGAAGGATTAGAAATGAAATTAAAATAATAAAGTAGAGAATAGAATAGAATAGAATAGAATAGAATGTTTGCATTGGAATTCCAGCCACCATTTTTTTTTTCAGGCCAAAAAAGAAAAAACTAAGAAATACTGTATAAACCATTTTTGTGTGGAGACTCTTGTGAAGAAAAACAAACAAAAGCTACAAATAGAAAATATAAATTTGTACCGTCTGTAACCAAATAAAAAAAAAATTCTAATAAAAAGAATTTCTTTAGATATTTGCATAGATATTTTCAGCCCAGTGTGTCCAAAATTGTTGATTTCAGACAGGAATTTTCATTTCTATACATCACTGTAAAATAAAACAGGATAGGAACAGGAGCAGAAAAGATTTCACAGGAATACTGTAGAGTAATAGGTGTACAATAGAGTCTTAAAGCAATCAAGAGATATGTGCTTGATTAAAGCAGAAGCCCAGACATTACAGTGTCAAACACCAACGCAAACGACTGCTTCTAATGTGCATTTTACCAGGTGAAGTCAAAAGGTCACCACCACCTGTACAAGAGTTCAAAGTCCATCATCACCTGACGTAATTCCACAGTCTACGCAGCCTCTCCTTCTCTGCAGCAGATGTCTCTCCAACCCTGAGCACAACACAGAACGCTTGAGACCAGCCCTGAAAACATCAAACATCCTAGCAGCTTCTACTGAGAAAAGACTTCAAACTCTGAGGTTTCTCTGACTGCAAAGATTGGTCTTTGTGCCTATGTATTGGTATTTGTGTTTCTTGGTACATAACTACATATGAAAACACACACACAAAAAAAAAAAAAAAAATTAAATGAGGGAATTAATTTACAAAAGAGTCATGTAATGGTTAAATGCTCCTCCTAGGCATTTGCCAAACAGAGACAGAAGAAGTAAAATTATGTTGGTCAGACGGCATTTAAACTCTTTCTGCAAAACAGACATTTCCTTTCTGATACATAAAGTATGTTTGGGGCTTCACATTCCTGCTCTGAATTGGCTCTCTGTGCGCAGAGCTCAATGTTTATAGAGTAAGTGGAACCTCCTGGGACTGTTCTAGAAAAGGCAGAACTGGCCAGCACAGAGGAAGAAAGTCTAAACCAATGCCGAAGAGAATCATCTGAGCAACAGACAGCCTCCAACCACTGTCAGGCCATTTCAAAACTGTATATAAGCTTTTCTAAGTTTTCATACAGCAGTTTGTTAAAATAAGAATAACATTAAACATTAAATAAAAAAATTCTATAAAAAACTCAAATTAAAATGAACATTAATTAAAAATTAAATACTAAAAATAAATTAAAATGAACATTAATTAAAAATAAATTAAATGTTAAATTAAACAATAAATAATTAAACATTTAAATATTAAAATAAATCAATAGTAAAGTAATACGACGGTCACATGAATATGAAAAAGTAACAAAAAAGTGAAAGAATTAATTTCCAAAAGAGTGATGTAATGGCTAAATGTTCTTTTTAGGCATTTGCCAAAGAGTCAAATTATATAGGTCAAAAGACATTTAAACTCTTTCTGCAAAACAGACATTTCCTTTCTGATACATAAAGTATGTTTGGGGCTTCACATTCCTGCTCTGAATTGGCTCTCTGTGCGCAGAGCTCAATGTTTATAGAGTAAGTGGAACCTCCTGGGACTGTTCTAGAAAAGGCAGAACTGGCCAGCACAGAGGAAGAAAGTCTAAACCAATGCCGAAGAGAATCGTCTGAGCAACAGACAGCCTCCAACCACTGTCAGGCCATTTCAAAACTGTATATAAGTTTTTCTAAGTTTTCATACAGCAGTTTGTTAAAATAAGAATAACATTAAACATTAAATTAAAAAATTCTATAAAAAACTCAAATTAAAATGAACATTAATTAAAAATTAAATACTAAAAATAAATTAAAATGAACATTAATTAAAAATAAATTAAATGTTAAATTAAACAATAAATAATTAAAAATTTAAATATTAAAATAAATCAATAGTAAAGTAATACAACAGTCACATGAATACCTTTATGAAAAACATCATTAAATGTGGATGTGAAAGTAGCCATGCTTTGCATTCTGATGTGTTTTTTTTCCCCCAGCACTCAGACACTACATTGACAAATGCCTAAAGTACACCATCGATTCCAGTTTCAAAAGGGAGCTATGCAAAAGCCTCTCTTTAATCTCAGGTGACCTGGTCAGCTTGAATAAAAGCAGTGGCACCCCGTCTGTTTCTTTGAGCTGAACGTGAGCCTATTCTTTCATCCACACTTAAGTACAGTAGCTTTGCACATTTTGTTTTCAACGAGTTATCTGATTGCTTATTTTAATTGCACATTGATTAGTCTGCAGTTGCCCAAAGCAGGAGACGACCACAGTCGAGTTAAGAATAGTGTGTACGTGTGAGTATTGGAGAGCAGCCCTCACTCAACATGGAAAAATGTAGCGTGAGCCAGTCTAGGGGTCAACTGTAGTGCATTTATGGAAATGGAAACCCTTTGGAGAATGAGAGAGAATAACCTCCATCAAATTTACTTGAAAAGTAGAACAACAAAAGGCCAGCGGTGGAATCCCTAAATGCTCAGGAAACACAGCTGGCAGAAAAATCACTACTGTTAATACACTAATGCACCATGTGACCAAAGGATTGTTACTCTTGCTGTGCAGAATTTAAAATAAGAGAAACCCAAAGTGTCTCTTTAATCCGCCTGTTTAATTGTCTTATTATTGTCCTACATGCAACATTCATGAAACTAAAGTTGCTATGCTCTTACACTAAGTGAAGATGATTTGATCCTTTGTACTGTCGCTTTGTAAAAATGTTCAGTTGTGTTGTATTGTCAATTAACATGAAGCAACAACATACATTTGCTACTCAACCTGTGCTAATTAACAATTAATTCAACTATACTGCTGTAGAGCAACCGCCCACACTATGCATACAGAGGGAAATTAAAGGGCCTTCAGAAAGAAACAGGAAAGGATCAATATCAGCATCCATTACATTTTTGCACTGCAGAAACTCTTAAATCTTAGCTTTGCATATGGTGCATGTGCACTTGCATGCTATGGTGTATATATATATATATATATATATTTTTTTTTTTTTTCCCACTGTAAGTATATGGAATTTTTCACCTATTTTAACATCAGTGAATCTTGTAAGTCTGATTGCAATTTACATGACAGAATTTATTCAAATCTCTAACCCAATTATTTGTAGAAACCACACACAAACAAGGCTACTCTGTTCTGTCACCATGATGTACACACTGGACCACTGGATGCACTCTTTTTGCTAATGCTATGATTGTGGTATTGAGTACTTCAGCAGTTTCACAGTTGGCTATATATGAAAGTGTTTGAACACAGAACATGGAACAGTTTACAATGCTTGATTGTTTACACAAATTCCACATTTACTGTTGGCTGGACAGCAAAACTTTGGCTTTAGTTCGGTTCTAGATCTGGTGCCTTAATGTCAATACCATGAATGCAAAGTAATGCCATACTTAACCTTGACAGCACTGGCTAGCAGCAGCCTAATATGTATGAACAGACTTTTATTGCTTGGTTTATTATTAATTTTACAGGCATTTGCCTTCATTAGACAGGGCAGTAATGCACAGCTCTGATAGTTACCTTTTCTTTTTTGATGTTACATTATGACTTTGCTCACTCATTGCTACTGTGATGTGAAAAACAACACACTGCAAAATGCTGGTATTGTGCTTTTTTAAATATTTGTTGGTTTACTGGTATGCCACACAAACCTAGTCATTCTGATGTGGCAAAAACACAAATAGGGATTTGAATTTTGAAATGTAGAGTATATGGTCTACTTTTATGTTGCACTTTTCTAATTTTTGGTGATTATTGCCATGTACTTTGGGTAAAGTATCTCCTATAGGTGTCCCAATCAGTGTTATTTTCACACTATTTACAGTATGTATACAGTATTTATTAATATTTTAAAATGCTTTCAATTTTATATTTTAAGTTTTCATTTTAAATTTTAGTTTAAGTTTTATTTATTTGTTTATATTTTCAAATAATTTTAGTTTTAGTAATATTAGTATTTCAACTTATTTCGGTTAATTGCCAGGCCATCTAATATATATATATTTTATTACAGCTTTATTTCAATTATTAAAAGTGATTCTTTATAGTTATAGTTAACAATAACAACTCTGGTTGCAATGCAAAAAAACAACAACAACCATTCAATCATGTTCTTGTAGCATGAAGGTGTGTAAATGACAAAATTTAAATATTAGGCAGAACTATCCATTTAAAGAAATCCTACTATGAAAACTTCCTCATGCATTTGACCTCTGTTATCTTTATGGTTGCTAAGCATTCAGTGCACATGCAAAACTCTGCAAAAAAAAAACAAAAAAAAAACGGTGTTAGTACATTGTGATCATGATGCATCAAAAAAGCTTCCATTAAGAGTGTTATGTAGCAGCAGGTGACTCAAGACAATTACAGTTATGAACGCAATCTATTACTCCTATCCGGTCTTAATTCCAGTCAGCCTACATAAGGCCAGTCATTAGCTCCCAAAGCCATTTAGTTGGTGTTCGAAAAAAATTTAAATCCATATCGCCCTGATTTGTTGGCATTATCGGACAAAAGCAACTCATTTACAGAAATACTGTTGTTAACACTGCTTAGATTCTTGCCCTCGTTTTATTTACCCCGTTGTGGTCACCCTACGCATATCTGCGACTCATTGAGTGCACAGCAGTTTTGCAGATAATAACCTGAGCTTCTCAATCTCATTCTACAGCAGCTGCCATCAGCATTGCTCCTCAATAATCCTCTTTATTCTGACAAACTAGCAGCACTTATTAATGGCGCCGTATCAGCCAGCCCCTGCTGAGGACGGCCAGACAAACACTGGCTCTTGGCGACATAAACAACCCCAGCTCCTTTCCCATCTGCTTTTGAGTGGTTCGTTTTCTGAGAACATTTCACCTCAGAACAAACCAAAAAGGAAGAGCGCACAGTTGACACACAAACAACGTGTGAAAACAGCCACCGTCTAAAATGCCTTTCAAACCCTCTACAAAATGGGCATAAGCGGTCTTACTAAGGAAAATCAAATGCGACCTCATTTGTCAAAATCTGCTTGATTAATAAAAATGAATAAACATGTTTAGGGTGAGCTTTTCTGCCACCTGCTGGACAGACTGTGTAAGTCTTTTCTCAAAGTTAACCAAATCCATCTAACATTCAAACTGAAAAAAATGCTACAAGTAAAAACCTGTTAACTGGTTAAAGGTAGTTCCCTTACTACATATATTGAGAAATTGTATTAGATCTAATCTTGCATTTAATGCAATTTTACAGTACAATACTGTTAAATATACAGTTTGTGGGAGTAAAAAATAACAAATCATCTTGTAATTTACAAAGAAAAAATGTACTGGCATTCCCAGAATTCCCTGTGTGACTGCTCACATTTGATGGCATTTTGTTTAAATAATTGTTTCTTAATAGTTTGTTATCAGTAGGGTTTTATGTTACATCACATGCTAATTACTGTTTATTGCATTATTGTGTTACCATGATGGTGTTTTGTGCTTGTGGTTATGACACTGTGTGTGCCTTCTACATTAGTATTTACTTGTGGAAAAGCTATTTAGGATTAACTTGGATTCATCATGTAGCTTTCTTTTTATGTGTGATCATAGTGGTTGTCAGTACATGTTTAAAGTACAAAACGGATGTTAGCAGCAGTGTGGCTTAATTCAGCAGAAAAGGACTGTTTGATTTACTGGTTTAAAATGTCAATTTCTTCGTAAATTACAGTCTTAAACTAAAAGGTTTTGTAAACATGTTTACATTTTCACTGTATTTTTACAGAATTATTCTGGCAAAGTTGCCATTTTTTTCTGTAAGGACAGCGTAGGCTTTACCATCCTGTGTGCAAACACAAAGGGCCAGATTTACTAAACAGGGCAAATTAAGGTTAGAGTGCAATTCCATAAAAGCGCCGATGGGAGGGGGAAATTCTGTGGGTGATTTACTGATAATGCGCACATTAAAGAGCACAGACGCAGCCAGATCATTTCCACAATGACCAGCTCAATCTACCAAAGAGCAGCGCAAATTACTGCCTGCTTTAAAACATGCTTTTTTTGAGTGTTAAATAATGGCGCAAAGACCAGTAATTTGACGTGCGCAAACATTAGTAAATCGTGTTGCGTGACTCATTTTAATACTCTCCTTTCATAAATTTTGCATCTGAAAGGGAAACTCCTACAAATGCATATTCAATAAGGTCAGGTGCAAAAATAACAGTCCACTTTTTAGCGCTAATTCTTCACTGCACGTCTTTAGTAAATCCTGACAGTACTATTATAATGCCAAAAGACGATTAGTAAATCTGACCCTAAATTCTAGAACTTCCTGTGCATGAAAAATGTTCCAAAATCCCTCTCACTCTTAAAAATGGGTCAGATAGGGCACCGATCAAGTCTCTTGAACTCTGACCTGATATGTAGCCAGGACAGCATTGGCGTGGTGCCTCCTCCAAACACCCAAACTGTGAAGAACACAATGAGCAGGGTCGTGGTGAACATCATCTGCCGCGCGTATGTGGCGGTGTCACGGATAGCCAGAGCGAATGCCATTGCCCCTCGCAGCCCTGCAGAGCACAAACACACACACACAGCAGTCACAATAGATTTTAGTAAGAATGACAGCCCTGCTACACATAGAATGGAAGTGCACTTAAGCAGGCAAACAGCCATCACACTCGATCAGTTGTGTTTTAGGGTCTCTGCACTTTGCTGCCCTTTTAGCTGGGTGGTGTTGCTGGTCTGGAGGGAGCTGCTCCACATCAAGAGCTGTTCTTAGAGATGTTCTGATTCTGATGCCTCATTTCACTCTTAATTTAGATCTCGATAAGCTTCAACAGGGTGCTGAAATCTACAGAGAGTTCAAATCAAAGAGTCTGACACTAAAGGATGCTACAAAACTGATTGCACCGATTTATATTCTACGTCATTGTATTTATTAAACGGTTCTGTATCTTTAATGTCATGCAAGCATCAGAGAAGAGGAAGTAAGCCAGGTGTGCTCACCACCTTACCTGCAAACATCATCATGTGCTGAAAGTTTCCCCTGATTTTGTGTCTTCGGCCCAGGTTAATCAGGAAAGACAAAGGATAGATGTTCAAGGCCCGGCCGATAAAGATGGCTATCTAGTAGTCAAAATGTTAAAGAAAAATCTTCTCACATATGGCATATTAAGTTAATAGAAATTTAGACCTACACTACTGTTCAAAACTGTTTGCATTAACATTTGGTAGGATGCATTAACATTTAATCAAGTGACAGTAAAGACTTTTACATTGTTACTAAAGTTTTACCTAAACACTGTTCTTTTGAACTTACAATTCAATGAATCCTGAGAAAAAGTTTTGAAATTCAGCTGTCGTCATATGAATACATTTTAAAATATATTCAAATAAAAAACAGTTCTTTTAAATTGTTATAATATTTCACAATATTACTGTTTGTACTGTATTTTTTTAATCAGATAAAAGCAGCATTGTTGAGCATAAGAGACCGTCAAAAACATCACAAAATAAAATCTTACTGACTTCAAACGTTTGAAGGTTACTGTAGATTATGCAGCTTAAAAATGGATGGTTAAAAGTTTCAACCCACAGATAATGCTGAAGAACAATTATGTAAAATTACATTAGAATTTGCCATTTAAAAACAATTACAGTATTGTATGGTTTTCACAAAACTTGTAATATTGCACACAAGTCAAATTTTATGGTGTTTTTGTCCTTTCTGAAAGACCTAAAATAATACAACAGAATAGTAACTTGCAATTCCTTCAAAACCTATACATAACGCCTCTTAGTGGTCATAATTGTTTTTTTTGTTTTTTTTGCCATTTATAAATGACATAAATCAAGATGAAAAAAACAGCCATGAACTTTTCCAGATGTTTTTGAGCATTTAAAATGATTTGGCTCGCAGGTACATCTTCTCTAAAATGCTGTCAAACTATCTGACCGAGGTAAATGCTAGGGGTTAATGCACATTACCACCTCCTCAATGTGAAACTTTCATTTCAACTGAAAGACAAGGATACAAAGGCTCCAAATATGAAAATGGGGCTGAAGACGTGATTCTGAAAGGTGAAGAGTGCCAGGCCCATGTATGAGAAGATGAAGTTCTCTGCTAGGAAGTGCAGCACCTCAAACAACTGCAACAGCAAAGAAACATGCCACACATGAAGCTGTATGCATCTGACATCAGCACATTTGGTCAACAAAACAGCTGAAACAACATTCACAAAAGCAAAGTCAAGCAAGCAAGTCCTAAGTGTACTAGAAATACATGCTCCCCCTCTGTATACTCTACAATGCCTTTTGTAATGTATGATAGATCTAAAGCTGAGACCAATATCTTCAATTCCTGTGACTATAACTTCTAAACCGTCTCTCTATAGACGGGAGCTTTGGTAATAGCGAGTCCGGCCCCCTGGAGAGAAATCCAGTGCCACAGGGGTGTCGTAATTACTGTATGCACCCCACTTCACTTCATCACACATTGCACTACTCTGACGACACCACAGGGGTGCTGGGAATTCACTTAGCACTATCCCTCGACTTATGGCCCCCCTGCATCAAAGCATCTTTTGAAGTAGAATATGCAGGTCTCCCATCCCCCCCAAAAAAATCCTTGTTGCTCTTTTCTACATACTTTACTTTTTCAACTTCGTCACAGTTCATTTCCCTCTGGTTTTATACCAACTGCTCTGAAAGCAACTAAAAGTCAACGGTTAATATATTTTACTTGAAAAAAAGTTCAAATATTTTACCTGTTTAGTGCGTTTGGTTGATTCCTCAGAGAGATTGTTGTAGGTATAATGGGCCTGTGTGATTCCACAAAACAGCACAGCGACAACACCTAAAATAGTAAAGGATATCAGCATCACATGTGCCTTTTTTCTTTCGAGTGGGGGATGGGATGCAATTTCAGTACAGGTTGGAGGTGACTAATGAAACAACCAGATGATAAGTGCAAATGAATGAACACATTTACACATCAAGGATGTTATCATTCAGCAACACGGCCTGCCCAGGTACAGCATTATGGAGGAAGTTTTAAGTTTTTGAATTTTATTTGCATATTTGTATGCAAAGGATTTGGCATGAACATGAATGTAACATTTTTGTCATGCTAATAAAGCACATTAAACCTGAACAGATGACTTTCTAAACCCCAGAAAATGATACTATTATTGCAGCTGATATTTAACTATAGCAGGAAATGTCGTGCTGTTCCTAGAGGGGAAGCAGCTGCAGCTTCATATTATACTTTATTATATTATAGTTTGACCCAGCAGATTATCCACTATGCTTTCATTACCAACCCACACAAAACACGCACCTGTGAATCCACAAGCTTCAGCCAGTAGAAAAGTACTCCAAGACATGAGGAAGAACAGAGCAGTCTCCAGCAGAGGGAAACAGTGCAGCTTGGTGAATTTTGTCACGTGGATAAAGTTAAGAATTTAAACCACATATCTGATTAAATAATCAGATAGCTAATCAAACAAAGATTAAAATTACTAAAGATGTACACTACCACTCAAAAGTTTTTTCTTATGTTTTTTTTGGGGGGAAAAGTCTCTTTTACTCATCAAGGCTTGCTTTATTTAATATATTTATTTAAAATAGCTGTTTTCTATTTTAATATATTTTAAAATGAATGACAAAAAGCTGAATTTTCAACAGCCATTTCTCTAGTTATTGGGTGTGACATGATTCTTCAGAAATCATTCAAATATGCGGAGTTAGTTCTCAAGAAATATTATCAAAATCGAAAACAGTTGTGCTGCTTCCTATTTTTGTGGAAATAGTGATGCATTTTTTTCAACATTTTTGATAAACAAAGGTAAATAACAGCAATTATTTGAAATTGATTTTTTTTTAGATTTTGAAATTAGATTTTTGTACGTTTAAAAATACTTACTGTGACTTTTGGTAAAAAATTTATATTCTTACTGAATTTTGAATGAATATACAAACAATGTATATACAAACTGTATTTACTAGGTTACTCTTGACAGAAATCAGTCACTGTTTAGAGGATAATTCTACAGTGTTACTAATTTTACAAATAGGTAAAAGAATCAACATCACTATGAAGCCAAAAGGGCATCAACACAACTTATTCGCATAAACCTAAATATATTTAGACTGATTTAATGACAACATGCAAAAGGATATGAGGGCAGTGACTACTCCAGTGACTGCACCCATAGCGAAAGAGCCACTGAAGATGCCCAAGAAGATGCCCACCGACTTGAAGAAGGCAGAGGCATCAAATGTGTGTGTGTTGGCTCCTGAAGGCTGATACGCCACAATTGACCTGCATGCCAAAAACAAAACAATCCAAATCATTAAATTAACTGACTATGCTGATCTGATTACACAGATTGCCTGAAAATGCACATTATTTTATTTTAAAATTATTTATTTTATATGCATGCTTTTTTTTCCCCAACCAAAGTCTAAACAACACCGTTTTGCTGTGATAATCTGCCTATACTGACAAATTGTGTAAGCGGTCCCGAAAAAGAAAATCAGAAACTATCAGCTTTAGCTCATTGTGTCCAAAAGGGGGAGTCAGAGCGCCATCCTGAAACACAACTGGAGTTGCAACATCATTCATTTTTACTATTCAGCATTACAGTGAAAATGTCCCCAGCACCCCCTCTTGTGCTGGCAGCCTGGGAAATCCCACCAACTGCCACAGACCAAACACAGTGATTTTAACATTTTTTGTAGCAACAGAAAGGGAAAAAGAAAGTGATACTGTTTGAAATTGGGACTTACGATGAAAGGACTATGGCGACTGCATCGTTCATGACACTCTCTCCAAACAGCAGTGCATAGAGATCACCATCAGCATGGAGCTCATTAAAGATCGCAAGCACTGTGACTAAAAATCACACACACAAATCAGCAACAAAACGTATTGAAATCCTGAATGGTAATGCACAACTTACTAGTCAGGTCATATAAAAGATGCTAAGATTTTAGCATTTAACAGCAAGTTTATTTTACCTGAAAAGAGAACAAAGACAAAAATGGAGGAAGAGAGAGATGAAGTACCTGGATCTGTGGCAGATATTATGGCACCAAAGAAGAGGCAGTCTGTGTAGTAGAACTTGTCAGTGAGTTGACCCAAAACCTGCATCAGTTTCACCACGCCATACATGAGGTTTCTTAAACAAAACAAAAAAATTTAAAACCTAGGCTTGTAAGACCACAACTCAAAGGGAAGCTATGTTTATAATGGCACATTACAATACTATTCATACTATTTACTTGTTACTGAAATGTTCCTTGTATATATATGAAGCAAACAGGTAACCAACTACATTTTCCAAAATGTGGAGTATACAACAAAGCACACTGCTAGAATATTGTATCCCTCAATGCAATGGAAGTTGACTTTTCACTGTGTAATGTGACAAATGAACCTGCTGATATTAAACCAGTTTTTAAACATGTCCGACACTGATATTTAACACTGAAAAACCTTTTTGCATTGCCGGACAAAATGTGCGCACAAGGTACTAAGCGTGAAGGTGGAGCTCATACGACAGCAAATGAAGAAATGAATCTGATGGTGGCTGATTACTGGTGCCATAAATTCCACTACGTGCCTGAACCTGGCTCTTGTATGCATTGGTTAGCACACAAATAACTTTTTTAATAGTTTAGGTTAGAAAGTGTATAGATTTACATGCTGTAACTGACGACCTTTTGTATTTAGTTTTGTTTAGTTTTTTTGTAAGTTCACTTAAATCATAATCAAAAGTAGTCACTCCATATTATAGCTCTGTTTCATCTGTAAAATTTGTAAAAAGTTTCTGAGGCATGTCATGGCTGATCCACTGTCTGTAAGTAAAATATTTCATGGTCTGTGGGAATATTTTGAACCTTAGTGACTTACCCAACGACAAAACAGGAAATGGCCGTGCCCAGGAACGCATAAGTTATGATGGATCCTAGGTTTCTGAAGAAGTGTCTCTGGAGGAACAAGGAAGAGCATGTCAAACAAACAAAAAAAAAAGAAGTGTAAAAATATCCTTGTCCTGAGAAAACAGTTCATTCTCTGTTGTATGTATTTTTATATAATAAATACGATATCAGCAAAGGCTGCATTTAAAGGGTTAATTCACCCAAAAATGAAAATTGTGTCATTAATTACTCACCCTCATGTCGTTCCAAACCCGTAAGACCTTCGTTCATCTTTGGAACACAAATTAAGATATTTTTGATGGAATCTGAGAGCTCTCTGACCTCTCAAAATATCGTCAAAAATATCGTAAATTAGGGCTGCAGTCTGCTAATTAATGACAGAATTTTCATTTTTGGGTGAACTATCCCTTTAAAGAAATATTAAAAACGGTAATATTGTGGAACCGTAACATTTTTAAAATGTAATATATTCCTATGATGGCAAAGCTGAATTTTCAGTAGTCTTTACTCAAGTCTTCCGTGTCACATGATCCTTCAGAAATCATTCTGATGTGCTGATTTGGTGCACAAGAAACATTTCTTATCAATGTTGAAAATAGTTGTGCTTCTTATTATTTTTGTGGAAACTGTAATACAGTTTTCTTTCAGGATTCTTTGATGAATAGAAAGCTAAAAAGAACGGAATTCAGATGAAATAGAGGGTTTTTTTGTATTATAAATGTCTTTATTGAGACTTCTGGTCAATTTAATGTGTCCCACTCCTTACTGAATAAAAGTATTCATTTATTTGGGAGGAAAAAAATATATATACAGTGGTGTGAAAAAGTGTTGGCCCCCTTCCACACACATATCTTACTGACCCCCAAAAAAAACAGTACTCATAGAACACAAATTATCCAATAAATCTGACTTCCTCCCACATGATTTAAAATGTCATAAGACTATTAGTCTTCATCTTGACACTTGGCCCGACACACTGTCATTCTTATTCTTCTATTTTTCTATCCTTGCTTGTTTACAGAGCAAGACAGAGATTTTTTCCTATGTGAGTATCAGTCACAATATGCTGAGTCACTGTTGCTACAAAGCGCAGCAACTACAAAATAATTTGATGTTAAACCTCTCCCTCTTCCACTGTCAAAAGGGCTTCTTCTGTTGCAGCTCTTGTAAACTCCTGCCCTGCTTTTTCTGACTGTTCCTTTCTGTGGCTGTGCATGGAGTAGATGGGAACTGACAGCAATCACTAAGATAGAAATAGTCAATTTACAGAATGAAACCTTCTTACTACCCAAAATAAACTGCTTGGGGGCGCAAATATGAAATCATTTACGAAAGCAGTTCTTTGCATATATTAAGGAAATGAAACCATTATCATACCGAGAGAGAGAAGATCAGTAGTACAGTGAGGTAAATGAAACTAAGACAGGGTAAAGAAGAGGATCGAGTTTTTTTTAGCCTGTGTTCATACCTTCATTCTAATGTGTTTATCTATCTGATCTGTTTTTCGACATTTTTGTGCTGATTTTAAGGGGGAAAAAGTCATTTTTTTAAAATACATACTGGCAGAATGTATTTAATACTCTATTCTGTTAAGTGGAACAGAGTATTACACTTATATCGACAGAAGAAAACAAAAACAAAAAAAGATTTTGATTAGAATTTTATGAAAAGAATTGCAATTCTTGGAAATTCAGGGGAGTTTTCTCTGAGCGCAGATTTTGTGGTGGCTTTAAATGGTAAAAAAAAAAAAAAACGTTCAGCCAAAAATGACCATTATGTCATCATGTAGGCCTACTTACCCTCATGCTGTTTTCCCAAGATATTTTGAATGGTAACCAAACAGTTTTGGTTACCACTGTATTCCAATGTATGGACACAAAAAAACAAAAAAAAACAGACATTTCTCAGAATATCTGCTCCACAGAAGAAAGTCTGTCATACATCTTTGGAACAACTTGAGAGTGAGAAAATGATGACAATTTTCTTTTTTCGGTGAACTCTCTCTTTAAGGCCTGTTCAATCCAAGACGAAAGCCTGGTGTGAAATTTTGGTGCTGTGAACATTTTAATTTGAATTACTGCCAAAATGTATACAATCTCGGAGCAGCACACTTTTCCTTCATTCTCTAAGGTTAATCAAAAACAGTCTAATGTGGTACAAAGAGAGGAAACAATGTAGCCTTGTGTGTCAAACACACACAGCTGGCAGAAACCCGTTCCTCTCACTTCCTCAGGGCCTCCCTGCACACTCAGCACAATCTGAAATATCTGGAATCCAAGAGTGATAAACATGATATCCACCTGATAAACACTGCAGTAAAATCAACCAAAAAGGGTATTAGGTAGGTAATGTATGGACATTCTGTTACATTAGATTCTGTTCAGTGCAAACGGTGAAATTATGCATTGCAGTCTACATGGCAGAGTACTTCAGTGATGTCTTCGAATAAAAGCCCTTATTAGATGGAAAGAGATGACACTTTAGCTAATTTGACACAAATGAAAAGGATTAAGAATAGAAGTACACCATGTCCAATACATTGTACTAACATGTACTTGGGTGTCAAATACCCAGCCAACAAAACAAAAATCTCTCTTTTTGGATGAACTATGACTTCAAAGATTTCAAGTAAGTGTAAAAAGCAGAATAATAAGCAATGCCTCTGTACACTACTTCAATGTGTTTGTATTTGTGCCGATACGGTTTACTGCCAAAAAACACTGTAATTCTTCTATAAATAGCCCAAAGTAACACTGTAAGCCACTGAATTACAGGTCATGAGGAACAATAATGCTAGTAAACGCTAAAACCAAACCTGGCTTTATAAATGATACTCAAAGGTCACAATCTGACTTCCCATGTTAAATACACATTAACTTAACTATAACACAATTTGAAAGGTGCCAGCTGTTAAGACACTCTTGATCATGAGTATCTGGTCTGCATCGCACTTCTCTTCTACGGTTAACCTTCCGCTGAAGCAAAACGATGAGAGAACAGCGATCAGGTTGCATTAGACTAGATCATATCTCAAAATTTCATAATGTAAAGTGGTAAAGAAGCACCTTTATGGATGAACGCTCTACTAAACAAGTAAAACGAAAGCTAAAACGGAGTAAAGGTAAATCCCAGTTCACAATAAAACACATACCTTTTTGAGGCTGTATCCAGCGTGGAATATGATGGGAGGGAGCAGAATGTTGAAGAACACCTCTGGGTCAAAGGTCAACTGGAAGAAAAATATTTAGTTGTTACAAACAATTGCTTGTAATAGACAAAATGAGTAAATCTTTTAAAATAAACAAATGTTATTAATCTGGTTAAAGACCTCATGAATAGTTTAAAATTGCAATTGCTAATTATTTGTTGATGTATTTTCTATTGAAAAAGGAAGTTGTGGTGAGACATTGTTGGGGCTTGTATTTTTGGGTTTATACAAAAATTAGGAGGATGTTGAGGTGTCATAATGATAGGCTTTCTAAAGACTAATTTACAGTTTTTATCTTTGCTGTCTGTTTGCTGTTCAGATCAATAGCAGAGGATATTTATCATTTAATTTCATAATTTGTAACTTCTGAGTTTCTTTATGGTGTTAAACCTAAAGAGGATATTTTGAAGAATGTGACCAAATGTAACCAAAATATTTTTGGCTCCTACTGACTTCCATAGTATAGAAAAAATACTATGGAAGTCAATGGGGACCAGAAACTGTTTAGTTACACACATTCTTCAAAAAAAATGATCTTTTGTGTTCAACAGAAGAAAGAAGCTCTTACAGGTTTGGAACAACTTGACGGTGAGTAAATGATAATAGAATTTGTCAAATTTGGTGAACTATCCCTTTAAGCTAGTGGATAAGGTCAAAAAAAATTCTTAAACAACTATTCTTAGTCTTAAAGATTGGACCTTGCTACTGCCTTGGAATGCAAAGTCTAAAACATCTGCACAACAATGTTAAAATTATTTATATACTATTATAGTGATTATTGATATTTTGATGTAGCTTTCATTTTTATATTTTCATTTTTTTAGTCATTTTTATGTGCTGTTTATGTGTATTTTTAATTTTTTTTATTTAGCTTTCCTTAATTTTCATTCCAGTTTAGTTTTTAGTTTGTGTTTCAATTTAATATTAATATTTTATTTTATTTCAACTAACAAACATAATTTTATTAGATTTAGTTTTAGATAACAACAAGGTGACAGAAATTAAAGCTCAAAATAAAATTTCTTCCTCTGACAAACCTCTGCTGCAGGATTATCAGAACCGTTTTTATGCGTGTATGTATGCTGTTGCTGACATACCTTGCGCAACATGTCATTCTGCTCCACACTGTGGATTTCTTTAAGGTTGATCTCCCCCTTCAGTGTGTACTCAAAGAACTTTCCGCTAACGTTGAGGAGCACCGTGCTGACAGGACCCTCCTGCAGGGTGCAACTCGGAGGAGTTTTATTATGGTAACTGGTGGAGGGGATGCCATACCGCAAAATAACACCCACCAACAGACCTGTTCGACACAGAAGATCAACCACTCAGATACACATTCAATACATACACTTAGTTTGTGAAAAAGGAAACTTGTTTGGAAACAATCCATTTTTGCTGTGGCACAAAAATTACACTTCTTTCCTTAAAAACACAGTATAAGCAGATTGGTTTCTGTGTGATGACAGGGAGTAGAGATGAGAGCCTGCCGTGTCAAATCTGTTGGAGGGTATTTCCATACTAATGAAGTGCCAGAGGAAGTCAACAGCACACACCGCATGGGCTGTGAAACAAGAACAGAGGCAAAAAACACCATAATCGCACAACCTCCTGCTAAAATCAGGCAAATTACACTACTTTAAATCAATGCTAGGTCTAGACAGTACTGATTTCATAGGGGAAATCTGCAGATTTCTGTGAAGTTTTTGCACATTTATTCTGGGAGTATGTGGACAGCAGCACATTTAACACATTTCACTTTATTTGAGTACATTCAACAGAAATCTGCAGATTTTCTTTTTATTTTACCAGATATAGTACCCCTAAAGATGCAATTTTTGCACATTTTCTGACAGTGCATGTTATGGTACTCAAAAGTAAAGCTAATAACTTGGCTTTGTTCACAGGCAGCAAAAGTCTTAACGTCAGTTTCAGCTAAAAGGAAAATATAAAATATGATACAAAGCAAAATTAAATTGGCCACAATTTCAATTAATTAACATCCAAGGATACACAATAAATTCTGTGCCCAAATCTGTAATCCAGACATCTTAGAAAACACACTCTGTATGTAAACAGATTCACAATCCAGAGCCAGGATCCAGGGAGTCAAGGGTTGAGGTTAGCATGAACCAGTTAGCTTAGCAGTTATCCCTGCTGGTAGACACTTATAACTGCCCCTCAATCAGTTCAAGGATACTAAAAACATTACTTTGCTGAACAATATAAGGAACAGGAACAAAATCCCTTTTATTTGGTCCAGAATATTTTTTAAATGCTGCTAACCAGAGTTAACAAAGTAACTATATTCTGATTTTTTTTTTCATGAAGCTAAAGAATTTTTCAAACGAACTTTTTCACACTACTTTTAGAATTGCACCACTTCCTGTTGCCTGAATATTTTATTTGGCTGTACGCACTTATGAGAGGAAGAGTTCACATGTCCGGTGCAAACCTGTGTAGACCACGAGAAATTCTGATCAAACGTCATTCGTCCTTATTCTTGTATATTTTGTCAAAAGTACAAAAAAATGTTTTGGTTAAAACTGCACATGATTCTGAAAATAATAATAATAATAATAATAATATACACATCATGACATAATTTTCTTGTAGTTTCAGAGTTATAAGTCACATGGCATTCACAACAGGTGACTGGAAGGAGAAGAAATTAAAAATGGTATAAGATGTTCTATTAATCATGTTTTTTTAAGAAAAGCATCTCCTATTTCAGTGTAACAGCAAGCCTAATGTCTGCAGTGAAACTGAATTAGAGGGGAGAGGTCTGAATGCACATAGGGGAGGGGTAATACAGCGTGTGTGTGTACAGGTTTATATATCCTGGAGGGGACTTAAACCTGAATACACGCAGACTCATGGGGACTCGTGTCACGGTGGGGACCTAAATTGAGGTCCCCATGGGTACAAAAGCTTATAAATCATACAGAATGAGTTTTTTGAGAAAGTAAAAATGCAGAAAGTTTCCTGTGAGGGGTAGGTTTAGGTGTAGGTTTGGTGTAGGGCCATAGAAAATACAATTTGTACAGTATAAAACCATTACGCCTGTGGAGAGTCCCTACAAGGATAGCTGACCAGACTCTGTCCGTGTGTGTGTACGCCAATGTAACAACACACAAATCCCGAAAGCTACAGTGGCCATCAGCATGTAGACAAGCCAGATTACGACTTCCAGCACTAAACTCAACATATGGAAGAGTGAGTATACAACTGAAGGACAAAACGATACACACATGCAGTGTGCAGCAAAGCTTAAATGAGCATGTGCAGGGCATTAGTAATTCGGTTAGCATCACATTTAGAACACGGCAAAGACAATGAGTGACCTCGGACATCTCCCGTCCAATCAGAATCCAGCTAATGCAGCTTAGTGTTTGTCTTCCCCTGCACTCTTGCATATGTCACAGTACACCAAACCAAAATACAATTACAACACATTACATGGAGCTTCTCTTGTTCTCCAGGAGGGATAGGAGAGCAGAAAGCCCCTGACAGCCCGGTCCGAATGCTGTAATACACAGTAGGAAATACAGATAGAACGAAAACCAAACACACCCAAGTAGACACAACTGTAACGTTACCATCTGTCCAGCCAGTGAGCAGGTGTCTCTGTTCTGAGAGCCAAAGCATGCCAACCTTGATTCAACAAGGAAAAAATACTATTTTGAGCCAAACTGGTTCAATGCAACAGCTGAAGTCAAATCTGCTTTGTGATTGAGTGCAATTCATCCTAAAAAGACGTGCAAGGAGTAGAATGGGGCAGATTAATAGGAAGGAAGCTAGTGCATACTATCAAAGCTAATTACACACAAGAGAAAGCTCTGATGGAGCGTTTGATGGACAGCAATATAAAAGATCCATTTTGAGTGTGTGGAAAGAGACCAGTTTGAAATCAAGTTTCAGTACAAACCAGGCTGTCAAAAGTAATAACGTGGAAAAGTAAAAAAAAACTAGTAGAAACAGAATAGCCTTGACATACATGTACTATTTGAAATGAGGGGAGCAGCAAATATTACATTTTTTTACAATTTCATTCAAACATTTGGGTCTGGTAGGGATGTAACGATTACCGGTTTGACGATAAATCATGATAAAATTCCTGACGGTTAGTATTACTGTTTCATCTTTTAATTATCATTAAAACTGTATTAGATTACCGCGATTTGAACAACTGGGTCTGGTAAGATTTTTTTAATGCTTTTGAATTAAAGGGGTCTTATGCTCCCCAAGACTGCATTTATTCGATGAAAAATACAGTAAAGCTAGTAATACTATTAAGTATTATTACAAATATATTTTTTCTAATTCTATTTTAATATCCTTTAAATGTAATTTATTCCTGTGATGACAAAGCTGAATTGTCAGCAGCCAGTCTTCAGTGTCACATGATCCTTCAGAAATAATTTTAATATGCTGATTTGGTTCTCAAGAAACATTTCTTTTTATTAGCAATGTTGAAAACAGGTGTGCAGTTTAATATTTTTGAGGGAAATTTTTTATGATTCTTTTTCGAACATAAAGTTCGAAAAACGAGCAGCATTCATTTAAAATAAAAGTCATTTGTAACGTTTCAAATGTCTCCACTGTCATATTATCAATTTAATGTGTCCCTGCTGAATAAAAGTATTAATTTCTTTAAAAATAATCATACTGACTCCAAACTTTGAACTTCACACAGAGCACCAACCACTGTCTACTGTATTTAGTATAAAATCCCCTATTATTAATTCCACAGTGAGAATACTTTAAAATGAATTGGAAGTCCCCAAGACTTTTGGTGAACTGTTGTAAATGCTGTTATTTAATAGCAAAAGTAACCGTGCTGAATGTGGCTCTTCACTAACATTGCATTTTAAGCCATGCATTTTAAATACCTGCTGCTCAATGTCAGACAGGTATGTGCTCAGTCAGTCACAAAAAAAGACCCCAGGGTCAACAATTTAGATGCATGAACATGGTAATGCCTGTCATATTAATCTAATCAATATTTACTGAAACGGTGTGAAACCAAATAGTGCTAGTAGCAGCTAGCTTGTTTCAGCCCAGTCTTTTCCTCGTGTCCAAGTAATGCTTTTGAACTTCAGAGCAACCACTGATGATAGAGCTCTCATTTTCACTGAAGACATGACACATGTGAAGACAGATGTTTGCTGACCTTGGTGAAGGCCTTTGATTTTTCACACTTAATTAATTAGTACATCAAAAAATAACATTGTGTCATCATTTAATCACCCTCATATTATTCCAAACCCATATGATGTTCTTTCTTCTGTGTAACACAAAAGACGACATTTTGATGAATTGCACTGCTCCTTTTGTCCATGCAATTACAATGAATGGGGAGAGAGGTGTAAAAGCTTCAAAAAGAATGCCATAAAATTATCATAAAAATAATTGTCATAAGTGATGCAATGATAGCCAGTGCAACTAGATTTTGTGTACTGGATAAACCAACTCAAGACTCAAAAGAGCAATTTGTGATTCAGATTCAAAAGTGCAGTGATCACTCTTTCTCTCATGAACACTAGGGCCGATGTCAATGATTTCAATAAATGATGACTTAAACTTCAAACCAAGCTGTAACATGGCTTCAAAAGACCTGGACAATAGTGAACAATTCAACATTTTTGATGCTTTAGTGGGTTGCTTTTTTTTTAAGTTTAAAAGTTGCCATTACTTGCAACTGCATTAGAAAGCAACCAGTATAATTCTTCAAAATGCTGTGTTCCACAGCAGAAAAAAATGGTTTGAAGCAACATGAGGAAGAGTAAATGCTATTTTTTTGGTTAACTATTCTTTAGAGCTTATAAACGGTGTGAGGAGGACTCTTGACACAGAAGACAACATAACATCATGTTACTGTAGACTGATCCAACCTGAAATACAAAAGCTGTCACATTATTCAAAGCTAGTATGAGGAACTCAACAGGAGGAATAACAGAAACAAAATAAGAAACGAAACCCCAGCGTCTGAGTGCACGATTGGCTGAGTTATGGTGTAAAATTGCATACACGCATAAGAGATTATGCAATATCAAAACTGTGGGTTGCATATGGGCTAATACACGTGTCAGCTATTATGGTGCATTCAAGAACATCAATCTATTCCACAGCCATTTAAAAACCACACTGAAATCAATGACATTCGATGCACAAGGTTTGTATTAGCACTCGTTCAAGCTAGCGGCTACACAGTCTCATTCATATGAGGCTTAGATACGGGTTTACATGATGGCTGTGTCTCAATACCTAATGAGCTGCCTATCTAGACAGAAAATGCGCAAAAACACGCGACTAAAAATTATTCAGCTCTGATGACTCGGTATTATGGGCCAAAAATGCTGCTGTCGACCTCGGCGGTTCATTCGGTTTTGAGACACAGACGATGCCCGAACGCATTTCGCAATGTTAAAAAGGCTCGGTTTTTACCGTATATCATAGCCAGTCCTGTTTCGTGCAGGAAGCGCACTCTTCTGTGTTTGAAGAGCCATATTGTGAGGATAGTGAGTGTCAAAAGCAAAATGAATGTAAGTAAATTCACGCTGTCCTGCCTGTGACTTTCCTCTGCCTCTTTCTCCGTGGCAAGTTCCTCCATGCCGCCGTCATCTGCTCTTATCCGACAACACTGGCTTAAAATGAACATTAAAATAGGAAACAGTGAGCAGTGTCCTCCTAATGCATGTAATGTCCATGGCTTTGGTGCTGTGGCCGCCTCCATGGTGCAGGATGCTGGTGGCGGGTTTCCTCACTCACTGCTTCAGCTGCGTCAGGTAGAGTCAGAGCAATAATGAGAGGTATCAGAGCAGACCGCGGCTCAAGCTCTTAAAGAGACACGCACACCAATACTCCACTTTTACTCTACTAGTACATTCCATGAATGTCATACAAAACAGGGCTTGAACCTCTTGAATTAAGTGTTTTTTTTTTATTCCACAAATGAGCAGTGGAGGTGCTTAAAGGAGTCATATGATGCGATTTCAATTTTTCCTAAAGTTCTCTTTGGAGTGTTACAAGCTCTTGGTGCATAAAGAAGATCTGTAAAGTTGCAAAGACTAAAGTCTTACCATTGATGATTCAAACGCGAGTTTTGAGCAGTGTATAGGGCTTGTTGTTTGTCATTTCTCTGATCACAAATGCAGACATGAGCCTAAATAATTTAGATTTTATACCCTAGGAGGTCAAAAGGTATGAGCTGTCACCCAGTATAGTCTATGTGTTATAGTCTGGTAAGGTTTGTAGTTATTGACACTTAAATTAAATAAATGTAACCCTGGACCACAGGGTCAATTTTATTTTATTTTATTTTATTTTATTTTATTTTATTTTATAAGCTTTCCATTGATGTATGGTTTGTTAGGATATGACGATATTTGGCTGAGATACAACTATTTGAAAATTTGGAATCTGAGGGTGCAAAAAATCTAAATATTCAGAAAATCGTCTTTTTGGTTGTCCAAATGAAGTTCTTAGCAATGCATTACTAATCAAAAATTAAGTTTTGATATATTTACATAGGAAATTTATCAAATATCTTCATGGAAAATGATCTTTACTTAATATCCTAATGATTTTTGGCATAAAAGAAAAATCTATAATTTTGACCCAGTTTTTAAATAAAGAACAAAAAGATGAAAAAGATAAATATAGATAAAGTAGAATTATAATAGAATAGAAAGTGTTAGAGTTAGAGGGTCAAATAAAGGTGGAACAGATGTGTTTTTAGTCGTTTCTTGAAGATGGGTAAGGACTCAGCTGCTCGGATTGATTTGATTTATTTATTTACTTATGACTGATTTTGTGGTCCAGGGTCACAAATATGTGCTTGTTTTCTGGGCTAATGTTTTTGAACAGGCAATTTAAAGAGGTGATATAGATATCTGATGTGTTAAAATTTCAACGGGGATACAAACATTTGAAGCAAAGTCTAAATCACTGAAAATTTAGTTGTTTTGAAGAATGTGAAACCCTACAGTTTTACTGACCTCCAAAGGTCTAGCTGTCACGTTGATGGAAACAAACAGGAATTTAAGATTTCCTTTTTGCTCTTCTGTATATATCACACTTGCTTTGCTATATGAGAAATGGAAAGTCATCATTTTCTGGTTCTGAGAACAAAACTATATTTGTAGTACAGCAATGACTATATTACCCAAAAATAATCACACATTTGAGATTCAAATGTCGTTTACACTTATGCAGAATTTGCAAGTAGGTCTGTTTAGAAAAAGTTTCCAGAATTTTGTCACAGTGCTTTAGACAGCAACTTTTTGACAATCAGTTCTGAAAGCTTTCTTTCTGTGCTTCCTGAAAAAAAGGTATTATTTCTAAAGTCTGCTTATTTATTATCAATGCTATTTATTTATCAGTAATTATCATTTGTTATCAGGTGACATGTTCCATCACACAGATGAGTTCATGCATGCAGTTTACCAAAGAACATTTTATGTATGTTGCTTACACAACAGTTGAACAGCCAAGTGCAATACTAATGTGTTTGCTGTGTATGTCACATGTAGGCCTATACTGAATACAAATTTATATGTAGGTGATGAGTCACACACCATAAAGCCCAAAATACTTTTTTATGTTTATCCTTTAAGCGAGATTGCAATTTTGCTCTGTCAAACCACATTTCACAGGAAAAAAATAATAAAAATATCAGTGAAAAAAGTTGATTGGTTTACATAAAAGCTTTTAACTGACATCTTTCAGTTTTCTTGGCAAACACAGAAAACATAAGCGAGAAATCTGTACTTCTTCCACATACATTTTATTGTCCCAGTAACATTATTTGTTTAAAATGAGTGCTAATTATGTAACATACAATTCCTCAATGAAAATGATATAAAACACACACACACACACAAAACATTTGGCCTTACTGCATTTCTGTACAATTCACTCAGCGAGCTGCAATGTTACTTATCTTTCTTAAAAAAAAAAAAAAAAAAGTCTGTGGCAATACCTAAAAATGTTTAGAATGTATGTACTTGAGTGTTATCTATTTAGAAGCACAAACTGACACATTTGATGAACAGGTTGTCATGAAGTGATAAGTTGTATTTGCCTTTTATTTTTATTATTATTTTTTTTTTTGCATTTTTTAAAAGGTCGCCAGTAAGGACAAAACATCTTACACAAAAGAAGGTAATCTTACACCAATAATGGGACATGATGATCCACACATATGTATAGGCTATGTAGGCTATATACAAAAATACAAACATCTAACAGTGTAATCCGAGTGCACAAATATTATAATTCACATTAATTATTCACATGCCAAGATGAGTTTACACAACGCACGAACAAAATGCTTTATTTGCATATGGCAGGGGTCAAATATTAGTAACATCATCCCCCACCTCCTACTTCGATAGACTTCGTAGATACTGCTAAGCTATGATTCGCTGTTTCCTAGTAACGCGGTGCGCTGTAGTGATTGGCTGACTCGAGGGTCAAGGAAACGGGAAGCGCACAGGTTGCGTCTTCTTGATTACTTTCTGGGGAGGGCGAGAGAGAAGCGGCGCAACTGCGGCTGATCGAGACTATTTCAGAAACGCGTTGCATTTACAACAGGAGGGGCGCGCTGACATATCGCACGACTGATCGTCCATAAATGGGGTGCTTCTTCTCCAAAAAATCGAGGAGAAAATCTCCTAAAAAAGACTCTGCTTTGACCGATGGGGACGGGAGCGCTACGGGCAATGACCTCCCAGAAACCAACAACACTGCGCTGGGCAGCGACAGCAGCCAGGAGGCTCCCAAGCAATACAGCTGGGACAAACGAGAAAAGGTACGACGCTGCATTATAACCCGTTTTTGTGCTCTAGACTGTACTACACAGTTTATTATGTTGCATAATTGCTTTAGGAATGATACAGAATGAACTCCAACCAGAGTCCGTCAGAAATAGCTATTGTTATGTATGTGAGTTAGCTCAATTCGCATTGTTAAGCCCATTTTATGCAGTTCACAACACGCTAGCGATGGGTTTGGCCCCTCTTGTGTAGTGTTTCTGAGTGTTTTCTTCTGTTGCCTTCGACTGACCATCGATACGAGTGTCTCTCGGCGGGCGGTTATAGGTTTTCAAATGCTATGGTAAATTATAGACAGAGCTTATTATCGGCTTAAAGTCAGGGCAAGTAACTTGTTTGCCTGGCGCTTGCCCAGATAACGCTGTTAAGGATTAGCACATAAGTGGTGTCGCCATCAACGTGTATGACACTGTATCAGAGGGAGGAAGAGAGTGAGTAATAAGGGTGGGAGTGTCTGTCTGCCCCTCCGACCGCGAACCCATTACAAAGCTTTGAGAGCATTTAAGTGTCCGGAAGTTTAAATCTTTTATGTTTAAATATTGCCCTGGTCGATGCTTTCAAGTGCAGATTGAAAGGCAGTGAATTCACGAGACAAGTCACTGTCCAACAGTTTGAGTTTTCTCTTATGGTCGGTCAAAGGCAGTGTCTGATCTAATAGATTAGACTAGTAGTTCTCAAGCGGCAGGTCATGAAACTTCCAATTGGCCCCACAAGATACATTTGAAAATATTTTTATATGTGACCCTGGACCACAGAACCAGTCATAAGTAGCACGGGTATATTTATAGCAAAAGCCAACAATACATTGTATGGGTCGAAATGATCCATTTTTCTTTTATGCCAAAAATCATTAGGATATTAAGTAAAGATCATGCTCCATGAAGATATTTTGTAAATTTCCAACCATAAATATATCAAAACTTGGGTCACATATAGTATTTATATAAAACTACTCAAACTTGATAGCTCTGTTCAGTTTTTAGTCCTAAAACCTGACTGGGAATTAGTATTTTAAAACAATGGGTTCCTTGGGGAGCTTTCTATAGCTGTTTTGGGTCTGTGGTTAAATTTTGGCTTGAATTGAAAATTCGCATTATATGTTTTCTAAATACATGATATAGATTTTATTAGAATTACAGCTGATGCATAGAAAATAAGCCCCCGCCTTACATGTTTTCTATAATCCTCTACTCTCTGATATATGTCACAATACAGTAGAAAAGATTTGTTGCTACTTCCATTTCATCACATTACTTAAATTCTGTAAACTCAAGAGTTCTTTTTTGTAAGGGTTGCCAGGGTGTTGCTCTGTGATTGTTAGGGTGTTTTAAGTGGTTGTTAGGTGGTTATATACTGGCCCAAGTCAAAAGAGCTCTTGATTTCTGTAATAGTCTTTCCCCAGATACAGAACAGGTGCCTTCTTCAGTTTAAACCTATGTTGTTGTTTCCATTTTGTGTTTTATCTTCTGCCTGATGAAAATTTATTTGCAACATGCTGCATGATTTGAGGTATCATTTGTGTCTCAAACTATGCAGAATGAGTTTGCTGTTGAAGTGTAACCTTGTAAAGCCTGACATATAAAATAATAGATTTTTTTTTTTTTAGTTTGAGCTATATAAAATTTACAAGGAAAATCTCAAAAAGGTTGCAGATGTGTTTTATGTTTTGTATTGTATTTGATACATCAGGCTTTTATGGCTCATATAGTATAGTGAAAATATGGAGCTCAAGGAGGAGGGGGGAAAATATTTTATTTGGAAGCCCAAACTAGCAAAATTATGCAATTGGGTGCAGATGTTGTTATTTATGTGGCCAAAAATTAAGATGAAATTCTGATAGCTTGTAATGTAAATCAACAATAATTTTATAACAAGATAACATAATACTTACATGAAATGCATATAAATATTAGTTGTCACTCTATCTTCCAATAATATGTCTTAGTAAGATCAAGATTATTACTAAGATGCTTAGATTTATGTTCAGAGCTCTGTAGTTTTAATTTTAGTGGGAATATAATATAATGCAACATAAAATGCAATGCAATACAATGAAGATTGTGAGATAAACAAAATGTTCCTCAGAAGCCTGTTGTTGATACTTACATTTTAACAAGTTTTTCTAAATTTGATGTATTGATAATCAAGTAAACAAAGTTGCTGCAGTCCTTCATATGTTCATCTTGAAACATTAATAATAATACAAAAGCTATTCTCATGTTTCATTATAAAAATCATTAAAAAATTTAAAGCAAAAAGACATATGTATCACAACCTGAAGGTGGAGAATTTAAGAATATTACTAAAAAATTATATCTTTTACTTGCTAAAAAGTGTGAACTATCAATCAGAGGGAAAAAGGCATGTAGAATATTGTGTACAACAGAGTTTTTCAGCTAAGTTTTGATCATGCTGATAATTTAGAGGCCTTAGAAATTATTGTATCAAATATGATTCAGTAGGCTTTATAGTGTAAATACTTAGGGTTTGTTTTAAAGTATAGTTAACTACAACAGAATTAGCTTTTTTTTTAGACAAAAGCATAATGTCTCTAACTAATAAACACACATTTTGAGGGAGGGAACGTCCTGTTACAAGAGTGTGAGGGGAACCAGAGAGCAAAGATAGCTGATAATGGTTTTATTGCTTTTATAAGTTCTCCATTTATTAACATGTTTGCACTTTTTTTTTTTGCAGGTTGACCCCAAAGACTTCATGCTGACAGGCCTCAAGAATGAGACAGTGGGCCGGTTGCCAGGCAAACTCAATGGCCAGCAGTTTGTCATTCAGGATTGTGAGAACTGTAACATCTACGTATTCGACCATTCGGCGACTATTACCATTGACGACTGCGTGAACTGCCGTATTTTGTTAGGTCCGGTCAAAGGCAGCGTGTTCTTCAGAGACTGCAAAGATATCAAGTGTGTGGTGGCCTGCCAGCAGTTCCGCACCAGAGACTGCAAGAAAATGGACGTCTTTTTGTGCTGCGCCACCCAACCCATCATTGAGTCTTCAACAGGCATGAAGTTTGGCTGCTACCAGTACTACTACCCCGAGCTGGCTTTCCACTTTAAAGATGCAGGCCTCAGCATCTTTAACAACAACTGGAGCAATATTCATGACTTCACACCTGTTTCTGGAGAAACCAATTGGAGTCTCCTACCAGAAGATGCTGTTGTCCTAGAGTATATGCCTCTACCAGATCCTGAGTCAGAATTCAAGTCTGTGAGAATCTCTACTGAAGCAAGTCGGAGCATAGTGCCCATGACCAAAGGAGGGCGCCGTACCGAGAGCGAAGAGTCCTGCCTGTTTGTCTTTTTCGCTGGAGACTACACCACTGCTAACGCACGCAAGCTCATTGATGAGGTTAGAACTCGTTTGATAGAGTTGATGCTGTAGAATTGTCATTCATGGTTGCTACAATGGGCGATCCAGAAACTGACATCATGTGTAGCATTTTTGTTCATCTTTGAAACTTATTTGTTACAAGCTTGAGGTTTCTCAACCAGGAAAGTTATTCAGAATGAGTCAATATTTCCTAATGTGGCATTTCTAAAGAAAAGCTGTGTTTATTATTCAGTTTAGCGTCTAATTGGAAAACGTTGTTCACAGCAAGTTTTTCATGTTAATTGGGAAATGAAATCAGCTTTCTTCAGTCACTCCATCTATATAAATAGAAAATATATACTATTAATATACTATTAATAATATATAGGGATGTATACTATTTCCCACTTCACTTAAAGGGGTCATATGACGTTGCTAAAAAAGAACATTATTTTCTGTATTTGGTGTAATGAAATGTGTTTATGCGGTTTAAGGTTAAAAAAAAACACATTCTTTTCCTTTGTAACATTTATCTATTTTTTCCGCTACAGATGTTGCCTGCATATGATTAACCTTTTGACTCCAAAAAAAGGCTTACTTGCAGAAGTTAAGGAAAATATCTTCGGTTGTAGGCACCTTTATTGTTTGTTCTATTATTTTGTTACTAAAAGCAGGATGGGCTAAACAGGAAGGGATCTGCTGCGTAGTTGTAAGCGTCTGATTTGACAATTCACAGTATAATAGCTTCAGCCATAGTTAACAAATCCAATTCAAATGAATTTGCTCTGCGGCTTCTTGCCATGAATCCAAATGTTATAAATATGAAACCCTTTTATGCAGAATGCAAGGAAAATTATAATAATAATTGTGTACCTGAAAGAACCACTGATTTTGGTGTTCATTCCTGCATTTTGTTTAGATATCAACACATTATTAAAAACATTTACATCCATGAAGTACTACTGTAGAATATACAGAAGATACTGTAAAATCATTTTAGAATGGTAAAACAGGAAACATTAATATCATAGCACATCATTCACATGAATCATTCACATTAACACAACAAATGTGCAATTAAAAAAAGTAATGTTGATTTCACGTGGCTTTAAACTACAGCAATATTTTTTACCTAAACTATCCTTGCCCTCTGCAATATATGGATTTGTCAAAGCGAAATTGTGAGGAAGAGACAGAAACAGACAAAGTATCATGCATTTCACCTTTTTTGTTACTGACTTTACGTCGAAATGAATAACTTTATAGTGGTGATCATTTAGTTTTATTTTTATGGTTCTCAATAAAAAAAAAAACACACATAAACTCCAGTCTGTTCACCAATGCATAACCAAGCTGATTTGCAAAATCCTTTCATTTTGTGACATTCATTTTTTGTATCCACCTAAATGCAGGCGACCACCAAAGGCTTTGTCCTCATTCAGACCAAAGAGGTTTCCATGCGCCCTGAGGATGTGAACCGAGTGTTCCAGAATAACGCAGAAAGCCTCACTGAGTGGATCACCAAAGGTGCCGTAATGCATTGTGTTATACCACATAAGAACATGTACAGGCAAATATATATGTCTCTTATAACTGATCTGTGTTCCTGCAGGTCCAGTGGTAGCTCTCGAGCTGAATGGAGATGGTGTGGTGGAGGCGTGTCGATCCATTGCCAATGAAGTGTTCAATGGAACTAAGGTAAACATAAGAGGAAGCTATTACTTCTCAAGTCTATCTCTTGAGGATTTGCTCTGATCATCTAACGCTTTTCATGCTATCTGCTGCTTTTCTGCAGCTGTTTGTTTCTGAGAGCAAAAATACATCCTCGCGTGATGTCGACAACTTTTTCAACTTTGCTGACATGCAGATGGGACTGTGAAACTGGCGCAGAGGAGCACCTCAAATTAATGTGGGTTTATATTTGTTTGGTTTTGTCAGTTTTGTCATTTCAGTGAATTGGAATTACATATGCGAAGCCACTGATATCTCAACACTTTTAGGGGTTTATAACCACTATTTTAACAGACAGATTTGCTCTGTGATCTAAAAATGTAACATTTTCATGCCAATGAAACAGGCATATAGTCAGTGAGGGTATTTGTTACCAATCATGAAGGCAAGTGCCTTTAGATGGAGAACAAAATCAAGAACTGGAACTTCTAATCAAACATTACTGTGGACAATTTATCACTTATGCTGAAAATAATGAATTTGATTTATATAGATATTTATTGAATAGTTTTTTCCCTAAATGTATAGCTGGAAATTGTGTTTTATTCTCCTTTGCTTGTATACATGTTTTCAGTACATATTGTATAGTCATTTAGTTTGTGTATAATAGATAGCTGTAAAAAGTATTTGTCAAATGCCAGAAAACATGAATTGTTGAATCAGGTTTTTTTAATATTTAACAGAAATATATATTTACTCATATAGCCATGCGTTTAATTTCTTTTCTTGTTAGCATGGCTTTTGACTTTGTATTTACTATGTTTTTTCAGTATTTTTTTTAAATGTAAACAAATAACATTAGTCCTCCATATAAGTTTTTAAGGTAACACTGTTCTAATAAGAATGTAAAAAGTTCCATCTGATACGTTGAATGTACTACTAAAAGGAGCTTTAGTTGTCTCCTTAACACTGCTCTATTTTTGTAGGAACGTTTTAGCGAGCACAACTTTCCTGTGACCAAAAAATGTTTGTACATTTGAGAGAATCACAGTGTGCTTTTTTATTTCTAAATGGTTCTTATTTGTACGAGACAATTTTGTAGCGTTAAATATAAGCTGTGATTTGTCAATACATTCATTTTAGTCAAAAGTTATGCGTCATCTTTTTATCTGCAAATAGACACAAAGATAGGCTGCATCTTACTACACTAATGTATTAAGACGAATATCAACAGGTGCAAATAGTTTTGTGAGTTGAGTACATATTTGATTACAGAAAGAGATTGCGAGTTACTATAAAATCTGGTTAAGTAGTGTTACATAATGTCAGAAACATGACAACAGTTTGAAGGCCAACCTGGAAGGGTAATTTGGCTTGGTTATGTGGTAAGGATTACTTAGACTTTGTAGATGTTTTCTACAACATAAATTACACAAGTTGCTAAATAAGAACTACAGTGTTTGTCTGATTTGTCAAGCTCAAAAACACATCCCTGAAGAAGTTGTAATTCTTACGAGAAAAAAATGTATATTCGTCATATGACCTTTGTCACAGACCTTATTTTATTCATAAGTATCATGTATATTATGTACAACTCCTATTAAGATTTTGCTTACATCTACATTGTAAATATATATTTTTGCTATTTTATTAATTTTTTCCAGAGGGAAATCAATAACAATTACATTTTTAACAATATTTCAAGTGTAATTTATGAGATTTGTTGTATTTTGAATCCAGTTTTTCTTTGTAAAAGGCAAAAAGTTGACCATACTGATCTCAAAGTTAAGGATTCATTAGTCTGAATATACACTGAACCAAAAACTATCATGACATCTTAGTTGATGATTTAATATACTTTATTTTTGACAAAAATTTGACATGTTTCGGTAGTGACTGCACATTTTCGGTAGTGACGCTTTGGTAGCGACCACATCACATTACAGAATTTTAACTTATACTAAAACATACTAAAATACAAAAAAAATTGGCTTAACTGGACTAAAATTTTGTTTATTTTCTCAAAATTTGAGGATTATGTGTTCCCTTTTGTCATTACCGAAACTCAGCGTAATGTTTCAGTAGTGACAATTTTAGATACTTTTGAACCTAGCTCAAAGATGCTAATCAGCACATGGTTAGCTAGCACAGTTCTCAATATAAAAACTAAATATTATGGAATAACTCCCAAAAAAGTGTGCTTAAAAAAGAGAGAAAAAGAAAAAAGGTGCTCGATAGTGACGTTCCATAAAGTTACACACAGATTTTTCAGATTTTGAACACATTTACCTCAAAATTATGGGACCTATCTACTCACCATGTAGCTATGAGAGAGAGTGACATAAATATTTTCTGACCATAAATGGGTTAAAATCAGTCTTAGCCAATGGACTAAAACATACAGTTTCGGCAGTGACATGAGAATGCCCTGACACATTTTTTTAGTTTCAAAATTTACAAAGAAAATATAAAATTAATATATATATTTTTTTGAACTTCACTTTTTAAAAGAATCAAAAAGATACCTTTAAAAACAACAATGGGGAAAAAATACAAAAAAATTATTTCAACATCCTTATCATAAGTTGAAATTTAGGGGTTAGGGTTTGGGACAGCCATCCTCCCAATTGAAAGTACCCAATAAATGATGACGCTATAAATATTAAGCTCACTAATATTTTAAATATTGTGGGTTTCAATAGATAATAGAAGGATCTTAGTAAACATCTAAGATTTGAATACTTGCATGCTTTTTAAATGTGTTTTTTGGTTGTGGGACAGCAGTTTGCACCAATTCTGTAGAATGGCCCATTTACTATAAAAACGTAATAATTTACTAACCTACATCACAGCCCTCCATAGTGGCAACTAAAGGATATTTAACTACCACTGAAAAGAAGTATGCTAAATACTCCAGTTTCCACTGGCGCTCAGTAGGGCCATGAATAGGGCGGAGTTTGGGACCTAGCGGTCTGGTGGTACAATAGCGCTGTTGTGTCGTGGTGAGAGGGTGATTTCTGCTTTTGGGATATTGACAGTGGGACAGAAAAGAAAAAAACAACGAAAATACGAATATTTGCCGCATCTCTGGACTGCTGACTTGAAGACGGCCTTGCAGAGTCTATCGCTTTGTGCGATCGTGCGGAAACGCTGGATTTTTGGATGAGAGGTAAGGGTGCAGCACGAACAATACTGCTCGTGTCTTCACACGGGGCTCAGTGTGCCAGTTATCCAGGCCTGCTGCTTCCTACAGATCCCTTACGAGCTGGGTTTTACGTTCATATTAGGCAACTGGGACAATATTGGTAGCAGCGATAACATTATCCTCGCGTTAAAGTTTGCGATCACGCACAGAATGTTGTTATATAGCCACAGGACGTGTTATTATAACAGGAGAAGGTATTGTAGGGACTGGAGGGGGTTCAATATCCCAACTCGAGTTTGGCGCCAAGGCCGTCAGAAACCCTCGCGCGTAACGTTACAGCAATGGAGGACGCCAGCATGCTCACACACAGACACAGTAACGTTAGTGCTGTTTAGTGAGACTTTACGGTAAAGCATTGCTGTGTTTACCCTTCCGTTCTTTATTTAGCTGTGTGGACTTGCAGAGTTGATCTGTTCACCCAGCATGGGAATAATGACTGAGTGGGAAACATAACAACACAAGGGCTCGTTAAACGATTCTTTTCGTTGCATCATGCTTGCAAAGAGGCGATGTGCATTTGGTGAATGAGCACTGGGTTGTTGCATAATTACACTTCTATATTTATTCGCTGGATTTTGTCGCCCACTTTTTATGTTATGAATATGAACCGTGTAATGAAACAATTTTGTTTTGTGAAATCTTCCTCGTTTGGTAAATGACTCAAATGCTAAATCATTAGCGCAATGAATGATTCAACCGACAGAATGCATAAGTGTATAAAATGGCGAGCACTTTGTAAAACGCAAATGAATAAATGACACGAAAACAGTATGACTAGTTTTAATTCTGAAGCAGTAGGAGCACAGTGCGACGAAGTTTGGAGCGGAAGTACTGTTGTTGGAATGCGGGAATGCCCTTCCCCCCCCCCCGCGAAATCCCTGGCCGCTGGCGTTAATCTGCGTGCTTTTAGTGTATGGTTAATTTGACTTTTATAAATTGTAAACATTTAAGATACTTATTAACAAATGTTGGGGTTTGCGTAACTTTGCATAGGTCAGTTATATAGTGCGTCTAATAGTAAATAAAGGTTTGCTAGTACACTAGGCCAGTATGAGTTGGGTTCCGAGGTGAAGTAGTTTGGGCACTAGATGGAGAGATTTTGCTTTCAGTGAATCGAGTCTTTTGAATAATTTCACTAAAATATTTGTTTATACAATCGTTCGGTGAACATCTATGTAGGTGTCATTGTTATGCAAATACAACAAAGCTCTTTTCTTGTTAACTTTTGAGCTGGACTTTTATCAAGTTACAGACAAAAACTACAAAAATTAATAGCCTAAATTAATTAAGGGTTTCACTATATTTCACTCTTAAAATTAATTGGTATATATGGTTCAATGGGTAAAAAGGTTCTTTAGATTTATCAAAATGCTCTCCACTATTTAAAGGAGTCATTTACTGTTGTTCAGCAAATTTTAGTGTGTGAAATCCAGTGAAAGACTTCTCCACGCTGATGTTACAACAGGTTCCGGAGAGTCAGCTGGATTCACTCTGTTGACCAACAGAAAGCTGCTTGGTATAAAAGAGATTTCTTTGGTAGATGTGCTATAATAAATCATTAAACTTTAACAAAAGACAACGGACCTTTTTGCCTGTAAAATATTGCCAAAATTTTGATAACGTGAAAGCACCTTAAGAAAAAAAATTGTTCTTTTAAGAACTGTTCTCTGAAAGGGTCTTTGTGGAACCCATGTTCTTCTAAAAAAAAAAAAAAGGAACCCTTATTTTTAAGAAAGTAGCATCATAATTTTATTGTTGACTCAAATGACAAAATGAACAAATGAAAATATCCTTTCAATACAAATGAAATATCCTTTCTTGGCCGGTCCATCAGCAGTTTCTCATTCACAAATAAAATCTCCCAATTTGTTCATATCGTTCACAAACAAGATGCCCTAGTTAATTTTGTTCATGCAGAGATATTTTGTTTAGTGTTGCTCCCAGTCTCATAATACCCATTTGTTTAGTGAAGAGACCTATGCTTTCAGCAGGTCCATGAAATATTTCTCTGTCTGTACTCAAACTGTTGGTTCACAGTGCAGTCAGTCTTTGAAAGCAGGAAATGAAGGAAAAATAAAAGTCAGTGCATGGAAGTCAACAACAAGCAACATCTACTAAATGATTTGTTCACTAGCGGAACACCACTACTTTAATCTGTATAATTCTTAATGGTCAGTTCAACGTAAAAGAGAAGATGATTTGTGCAGTGCATCTCTAATAGAGTCAGTAAATGGGACGGGTTGTTGGCACACTAGGCCAGTGTGAGGTGGGTGTGGGGGTGAAGTAGCTCTCAGCAGCCGCTGATCTGTTAGTGTTGGGGTGTGGGGGGGTCTGTCTGGGCAGAGCATTGTGCTTTATCATGGCGCAGTAGGAGTGGGGGTTGGTTTTAGGACCGTGTCATTTTGTACCACAAAGCAAGGCCACCCAGATCAGATAGCCTCCCATTTCAGCAAATTTGTAGTTTGACTTAAAACCTTGCAAATTTGAGAAAAGCCCTCTATTACGTTCTTAATTGGTCTTGATTAATAGTCTTATTTACAGATACACTCTTAAAAATAAAGGTGCTTCAAAAGGTTCTTCAAGCGATGCCATAGAAGAACCATTTTTGGTTCCACAAAGAGCCATTCAGTCAAAGGTTCTTTAAAGAACCACCTCTTTCTTACCTTTTTGTAATCTGAAGGACCTTCTTTCGCCACAAAGAACCTTTTGTGAAACAGAAAGGTTCTTCAGATGTTAAAGGTTCTTTATGGAACCATTTAGACAAAAAGGTTCTTCTATGGCATCGTGAAGCACCTTTATTTTTAAGAGTGTAGGAGTCAATCACACAATGCTGACTCATTCTAAGTGGATTTGGTGCAACATTTCTGTGACACTACAATACTAATTCTTTAATATTATGATAGATACGGCCCAACTCCTAATTAAGAATGTGGTGAGCAAGTCA